TTCATCATTTTTTTAGTCACTATTGTTTACTTCTTTGATCAGAGTTCTGAGGTCTTTCAGAGTTGTTTTTCTTCATATTATTGTTGTTGTCCTTGTGTAAATTACCGTGCTTCTGCTTACTTCACCCTGCATCAGTTCATAGAAGTTTTTCCTAGTTTCTCTGAAGCCATTCCTTTCATTATTTTTATGGTACAATAATATTCTACTACATTCATTTAAAACAATTTGTTCTACCATTCATGGGCACCTATTTTGTTTCTAGTTATTTGCTACAACAAAAAAGTAATTCCAAAGTTATAGATACAAATAAAAATATTTATAATTTTGGAATCTTTGTTGATTCATCCCTTTCTCATCCAGTCAGTTGTTCATTCCTGACAATTCTAATTCTGTCTTTCTTCTTTATATCCACTCACCCCACTCTACCTTAAACTCTAAGAACTTCTCACTTGAACTATTGTAATAACCTTCTAACTGGTCTTCCTACCTCTTGGCTCTCTCTCTTGGTTTTCCATCCATCCTTGACATTCACATCAAAATAACCTTCCTAACATGAAGAACACAGGAGCACAGATTTAGAATCACAAAGGAGTTGGTTTACACAAAAAGAGGTTATAAGGGCAGCTAGGTGGCACAGTGGATAGAGCACTGGCCCTGAAGTCAGGAGGACCTGAGTTCAAATCTGGACTCAGACACATAACACTCACTAGCTATGTGAATCTGGGCAAATCACTTAACCCCAGTTGTCTCACCAAAAAGAAAAAAAAAGATGTTATGAACCCCTGGCTCTAGAACCTGGCACAATACCTTGCACATATATGGTGTTTGTGCATAACAAATGCTTCAATGTTAGATTGAAGTTGAAAAAAATCTACATAGAGGTGACAAGTGAAGCCATGGACTTCACCAAAGATGTTTTACTACTTTTTTAGCCTTTTTTACCCACACTCTTCCCCTTCGTGTACTTGGTAACCAGATATCTATTATTGTTCTTCAGGATAGACTGCTAGAAATCAGAGGTAAGGAGAGGAGTAGGATTGCTATTTTAATCATTCCACCTGTAGTTATTGCAGATCAAGTCTAGGGTAGTGACAATAGGAATGGAAAAGAACAGATGATTTGCTCAGCCCTTGGTTATCTCATCTGCTTACATGCATTTCAGATAATTCCCAAATCTATATATCAAATCTTAATCTCTCTGCTGAAGTCCATTTTTTTTTCCATCTCCAATTGCTTATTGGATATCTTCACCTAACCTCTTTAGTTTTTCATTTGAAAAACCAGGAAATTAGACTAGATGACCTCTAGCATCCCTTTCAGCTCTAAGTCTTCTTATGATCATAGGCTCTCAATCTAAATATCCTACCAGCATCTCAAATTCAAAATTGAATTCTGTATCTTCTCTTCCTAAATCCTCTCTTCCCAACTTCCCTGGTTTCTATTGAAGGGACCACCTTCCCTAGTCATGCATGTTTGTAACTTTGAAATCATCCTAGAATCTTTCCTTTTCCATAACCCCACTTCCCCCATATCCATCCAGTCAGTTACCATGTCTTGCCAATTCTATTTCCACAATATTTCTCATATCAATCTATCTTTTCCTATCCATCCTTAAACATTGCCCATATTACCTCTCACTTGGACTATAGAAATAGCTTCCTAACTCCTTTTTCCTGCCTCTTACCTCTCCTCCTTAATATATCCTTTCCACAACTGCCAAAATAATCTTCTGAATGCAAAGTTCTGTGTTATTTCTCTACTCAACATGAAACCTTAAGTGGCTTTGTGTTGCCTCCAGGATAAAGTCCTGGATTTAAAAGGATTTAATCTTGCTCTGATCCACTTTTTCATGTCTATTACTCCCTCCACACACTTTGCGTTCCAGTCAACTTGGAATACTGTCTGTTCCATAAATTTGACATGCATTCAACACAAGCCATCCCCCTTTCCTAGGATGTACTCCTTGTCTCTATCTTTTAGAGTCTTTTCTTTATTTGCCTCTGTTCAAATGCCAATCAGCCATTAAGCCTTTCTTGATTCCCCTCAGTTTTTGGTGCTCTGTCCTCAGATATTCCAAAAAGACTTTGCCTAATATTTTCCTTGCCTCTTTCATGTCCCATCTTTTATTATATTTATGTACATATTGTATCTCTATAGCAAAATATTAACTTCTTGAGGAGATAATATTTAAAATATTACTATTTTCATTTAAAACAAAATATTTAAAATATATAAAAATATTTGCTTTCTTTTTTTTTTATCCCCAGGAGTAAATAGCACAATGTCTTTTATGTAGTAGGAACTTAAATAAATATTGAATTGAATTCAGTTGGGAGTCTGACAGAAGCCTAACAACTTTGGCCCTTCTTATATTTGAATCAAGAAATAAATTTAAGTCTGGAAATTAAAGTTTATGGTCTATTAGTTAAGTGACAGTCCTGCTAGGACTTATATAAATTACTTTCCTAATCATTTTTTACAAATGAGATAGGGTTACTTTTGGTTCCAAAAAAAATAATTGAAATGAGGAGACCAACCAGCTTCTTTTATTCATTTTATTGCTACATTTAGTGGCAATACCTTTAAAGAAATGATTTTGTGATAAATTAACCTCCATATCCAGGGAAGAAAGAACAGACCATGAACAGAGAGATCATCCTAAAGAGATTTATTAAAGAATATTCTTTGTAGCCGGCCAAGATCTATAGAAGGATGGAGATAGGATGGGATGTTTCTGAGATGTTTCAGTTTGTGTCTTTACCAGGTATTTGGGCAGTTCAGACTGTGTTTCCATATCAGCTAATGAGGGGTTAATGCCTGATGATCTCAGGAGGGCTGAAGCACCCCAAGTGGGCTGCCAGTATTGGCATGTTATTACAAAAATGGCTTGCCAGGTTTCTCTTTTTATACAGAAAAGTTCTCATTGCTGATAACCATCAGTAATATTTCAATTTTTAGTCATTTTAGGGATGCTAGGTCAGTGATTGACTATACAGAATAGCAGGTTTATGATCAGAAAACATATCTCTCAACTCCTGTTTATGATGCAGAAAGCTATAATAGGAACTGGGGTGCTATAAAAACATTTCACTTTTTTTGTTGAAATGAACATTATCACACTTTTGGAAAGAGTTGATCTTCCCAGAGTTTTTCCCAGTGAGGTAGAATAGAAAAACTGAATATTAACTTGTACAGATGAATGGAAAACAAACACAAAATCCTTAAGAATTGACTTTTAATGAGGAAGTTCTTAACTTCGAGTTCAATAAACTTGTTTTCTTAACATTTCAATAACTATTTCAATATAATTGGTTTCCTTTGTAATTTCTAATCCTGTGTATTTTTATTTTGGGCATTTAAAAGTGTCAGCTCTGTCAAAGGCCATCTTTTCTTCTCTCTGTATACAATTTCACTTGGTGATTGTGCCAGCTTCCATGAATTCAAAAATCATCTTTAAGTTAATGATTCTCAAATCTACTTATCCAGCCCTAATCTCTTTTCTGATAGACTTGTGTTTCCAAATGCCTGTTACACATTTCAAACTGGATGTCCCATTGACATCTTAAACTCAGCATATCCAGACATGAATCCTTTAACTTTACCCCCAAACTCTTCCCTCTTTCCTATTATTATCAAGGTATAATACCACTACTCCCAGTCACCTAAGCTCTAACCTTACATGCCATCCTCGACTCCTCTTTCTCACTCCCCATCTACAATCTGTTGCCAAGGTCTGTTGATTTTACCTTCATAACATCTTTGGTATGCTTCCCCTTTTTTCTCCTCTGACCATGCTATCACCCTGGTTCAGACCCTCATTACTTCACACCTTGACTATTACAGCAGTCTGCTGGTTGGTTTCCCTGTCACAGATCTCTCCCCACTGTGCATAATCTTCCACTCAGCTGCCAAAAAGGTATTCCTAAAGCACAGGTCTTACCATTCCCTCCCCACCCCACTCCGCTCAGTAGACTCCAGTGGCTTCCAATCACTTCCAAGATCAAATATAAAAATCCTCTATATGGTATTTCAAGTCCTGCATAATCTGTCCCTTCTCCTTTCTAGCCTTATACCTTACCCCACCCCATCATCTCTAATCTAGTGATACTGGCTTCTCTGTGATTCCTCAAACAAGATACTCTATCACCTGACTCTGGGTATTATCGTTGGCTGTCGCCTATCCCTTGAATTTTCTTCCTCCTCATTTCTACTTCCTGGCTTCCCTAGTTTCCCTGAAGTTCTACCTCAAATCCCACCTTTTACAGGAAGCCTTTCCCAATCCCCTTTAATATTGATCATCTCCAATTTTTCCTGTATATATAATATATATAAAATATGTGATTGTGTGTGTGTGTGTGTATGTGTGTATTATCTGCAAGGGGCAGCTAGCTGGCATGGGTAGCATGCCAGCCTTGAAATCAAAGTTCAAATCTGGCCTCAGACAATTGACACTTACTAGCTGTGTGACCTTGGGCAAGTCACTTAATCTGATTGCCTAGCCGAAAAAACAACACAAAACAAAACAAAGCCAAGGAAAATTATCTCAGTGTATGCTCCAAAGGACAGTAGAGCCTTTGATCTGAAGTTTACAGCTTTTGCTTGGAATTCTACATGAATGAAGATGGGGGCAGGGGTGTTGCAGGACAACTTTGGGATTTTAATAATAGGGAACAAAAGCCTCAATGTCAGTATAGCCACATATAGACATGTATACATGCATTCATTCACTAACCAGCAATGTAATTTTCTTTACAGTTATAAAAATCCTAAACAGTAAGCATATCCTTATATATACCCAAAAATGTGATTATCAAGCTATAAATCAGACATTCTGGAATCGCGTTGTAGCAGTAACAGTTCTTTTAACGCCAGCAGATATCTATAAATTCTAAAGTGAATCAGTTATGAGATAGTTATTGCTGTTTTTCACGTTACAATTTTTTAAACCAGCTTCTTGTCATTACTGTTTCTCTGGAATTCAGTGTATCTTTCTATTACAGGGATCAAAGATTTCATGTGTGAATTGTGTGGAAAGACTTTTAGTGAGAGAAACACAATGGAGACCCATAAACTTATTCACACAGGTAAATATCATTCTATTACATTTCTAAAGGATGGTATAGCTCATTCAGATGACCCCCACTAACACTTTAATGAAAATGGTATATTCTTTTCTGAACAAAACACCAGACAATCTTGTTATTCATGATATATTAGAATGTATTAGGATTAGATTGTATAGTATGCATGTTAAATAAGAAAACAATTTATCATCCACCTTTATTTTTAAATCTTCCCCATATTTATGTACTGGTATCACAATACTGCATTTTATTACTGTGAAGAAAAAGGCCTAAACATATTTTGTTGTTTTTGTTGTTGTTGTTTTTGGTGAGGTAATTGGAGTAAAGTGACTTGTCTAGGGTCACACAGCTAGTAAGTGTCAAGTGTCTGAAGCCAGATTTGAACTTGGGCCCTTTTAACTCCAAGGTCAGAGCCCTATCCAATACACCACTTAGCTGCCGCTACATCATATTTTTTGGATTTTTTTTTCTTACCTGTAATCTCATTTTTAGGCACTGGCCTCCTGACTTGTGGTAATGAGCATGACTGAGTAAGCTCTTGTTTTCAAAGGCTACCAGTCAGTCTTTCCTTTTTCCAGGCTTTCTCCCAGACAACTGCCAGAATTACTTCCTAATGTACAGGTCTGATTCTGTCACTACTCCCTCTGTCAAAAACCTGCTGGGACTCCTACAGGCAGGAGTGCCATTTAAGGCTCTCTGCAGTCCAACTCCAACTTACCATTTGACTTTATTTTATGTGATATCTCTGAATTCCAGTTAAAATAGCAGTTTCCTGACTTTGTCTTGTACTTTCTCATGTCTGTGCTTGTGCAGGCTGGAACATATTCCTTCATCTTGGCCTATTTTAATTCTTTCCATTTAAAGATCAGATCAGATCAGATGACCATGAAGTCTTCCCCAATTCCCAAGTCTTCCTTCTACCCACCCCACTCCCCTGCAAGGATCTCTCCAACTTCACATTTTCCTAGGGCCTTGACTTCTCACTTGCCTGTTGCATTCCACCTTAGTAACGTGTTTCCATGTTGTATTCCCAGCTCTTGCCCATCCTAGCACCCACCCCCATTAGATTATAAGGTCCTAGAAGGAAAAGACTGTGTCATTTCATTTTCATGAACCCAGCCATTACCCATTATTAGTAGGCACTTTATTGAATGTAATTTTCATTGCATTGTGGTCAGAAAAAAGATAAATTTAATATTTCTGCTTTTCTTTGTTTGTTTGTGAGGTTGTTATACCTTAATAAATGGTCAGTTTTTGTGAAGGTGCCACACAGAGCTAAAAATTAGTTATAACCCTTCCTATTCCCATTTAATATTTGTCAGAGGTCTATCGTATCTTTTCTAAAATTCTATTCATTTCATTTATTTCTTTCATGGTTAGATTTATCTAGCTCTGAGAAGGGTAAATTGAGGCCCTCCCACAATTACAATTTTACCATCTATTTTCTCCTGTGACTCATTTAAGTTTTCTTTTAAGAATTTGGATGCTAAGCCATTTAGTAAGTATATATCTGTTCAGTATTGATATTAATTCATTGTCTATGGAAACTTTTAACAAAATGTAGTTTCTGTGATTATCTGTTTTAATTAGATTTGCTTTTGCTTTTTGTGAGATCATGATTGCTACTCTAGCCTTTTGTACTTCAACTGAAGTATAATAGATTTTGCTCCAGGCTTCTTATTTTAACTCTTACGGTATATCTTTATATTTCAAGTACATTTCTTGTAAACAACATATTCTCGGATTCTGGTTTCTAATTCATTCTGCTATCCTCTTGTTTAATAGGCATTTAATAAATGTTTGCTGAATTTTAGAATTGGTTTGAATTTTGTCTGTTGTATCAGCATACTAATCATATCTGTAACTGTATTTTATTTCAATTTTTTTCCTTACAAAGTGGGAAAACAGTGGACCTGCTCTGTGTGTAACAAAAAGTATGTCACAGAGTACATGCTTCAAAAACACATTCAGCTAACTCATGACAAAGTAGAAGCTCAGAATTGTCAGTTATGTGGAACAAAAGTTTCAACTAGGGCTTCAATGAGTCGGCACATGAGACGCAAACACCCAGAGGTAAGTTAACATTTGCTAGTGTAGTGTCTGGTGATGGTAATAGATTACACATGGACCATAATTTTGGCAAAGGTCCTTAGCCTAAGGGCCTAACAACTCTAGCACCATGCCTTACACTCTGCCTTGGTGCTTAAAGTAAGTACTTGTTGAATTGAATTTGGTATAGTGTAGCACTTTCACAACTTGAGTTGCATTTTCAAAGAATTCTTTTAGGTAATCATGTTGTTATGTCATACAGTCTTGTCCAACTCTTCATGACCTCGTGGACCATACTGTCCATGGAGTTTGCTTGGCAAAGATACTGGCGTGGGTTTGTCATTTCCTTCTCTGATGGATTAAAGCAACCAGAGGTTAAGTGACTTATTTGCCTAGCTAGTAAGTGTCTGAGTCCAGATTTGAACTCAGGTCTTTTTGAATCTAGGCCCAGCACTCTAGTCCGTAGCTGCCTCCTTGGCAAACAGAGGTTAAATAACTTCCCCAACATCACATAGCTAATAAGTATCTAAGGCTGGATTTGAACTCTGTAATCATGTTATTAGGTCATAAATATCTATACATTTCTTACTCATTATTTGTTATTATTTGTTAATTTTAATCCAATTTCCATATTAAAAAACACTTCACAGATTTCTAAGCAGTTAATCTGACTTTATAGTCGTTATTTATTAGGATGATAAAACCCATTTGATATACCACTTTTTTGCCACCATTATTGTTTTTATTTCTCCTGAATTTAGGCAATTTTGCCTCCATGCTATTTTACTAATTATTAAGCCTATAATTTGTTTTATGCCCAGAAAATAGTTAAGTAGGAGAATAGTAGACCAATAGCTCAAACTCTGATTTGAGGTCAGGTTTTGAGAGGAATCAAGCAGTGTTTTTTATTTCACCACCTAATATGTTTTTTTTTTCACACATCCAGAACTTAATGGATAAAGAAATGAAGGTAGAAAGTAAAAGAGAATTTGGCTACATGCTAGTTGGTTATTATTAGTGATGGCATATCTGATTTTTGTGAATTTAGTATTTTAAGTACACTGGACAATTAGCTATTTCTTTTTTAATTTTTATTTTATTCTGAATATAATAGCAAAAAGAAAAGAATGTTTACATATACAAAGTAGGACAGAAAAAGAGATGATTATATTAGAAAACTTGAATCTCTATCACATATAACTTGCTTTTTAAAATGCCTATTTCAAGGGGCAGCTAGGTGGCACAGTAGATAGAGCACTGGCTCTGGAGTCAGGAGGACCTGAGTTTAAATTCGGTCTCAGACCAGACACCTGACACTTATTAGCTGTGTGACCCTGGACAAGTCACTTAACTCCAATTGCCTTGCCAAAAAAAACCCAACTAAACATATATTTTAATAAATTCAGCATATTATTTTCAGAACTTCCCAAATACTTGTCTGTTTCCTTCTAAATTCTTTTTTGTTTTCTTATGTGCATTTTAAAAAATGTTCAAGTGATACTCTTTTCTTTCTTTTTTGTTTTGTCAGCACTATCAATGGCTTTTCTTCCCTTCCTTCTCCAACTTGTCTACAAATATAAAATAGAAAGCACAATCTTCATAACAAATAAGCATAATCAGGCAAAATGAAACCATGCATTTGCAGTAGTCAAAAATGAATGTCCCTTGGGTTCCCCTGTTAGAAGGTAGTCAACATGCTTCCTTAGTCCTCTAGAGTCATGGCTGTTCATCACACTGATCAGAATTCTTAAATCTTTGAAAGTTTTTTTCTTTAAATATGACATTGTTACTGAATAAAATGTTCTCTTGGTTCTGCTCAAGTCTAAGTTTATACAGTTCTTCCCAGGTTTCTCTGAAAACATTCCCTTCATTATTTCTTGTGGTTCAATAATATTCCATTACATATATATATATACCATTATTTATTCATCCATTTCTCAACTGATTAGTACTTTGTTTCCAGTTTTTTTGGGACAATAAAAAAGAGCTCATATGAATATTTTTGGGCATAGGAGTCCTTTCCTTTTTTCTTGGATCTTTAAGAATATAGGCTTACTATTATTATTTTGGGGTCGAAAAGTTGGCAGTTTAGTGAGTTGAGGCATTGCTTTCCATAATGGCTAGACTAGTTCACAGAACTACTACCAGTATACTCGAGAGCCTTTTTTCCCCACATTCCCTTCCAACAATTCCCATTTTTCTTTTTGTCTTCTATACCAATCTGATAGAGAAATTCAGAGTTGTTATAATTTGCATTTCTCTAATTATTGGTGATTTTGAACATTTTTTTCACATGGCTATTAATCACTTGGATTTTTTCCTTTGAGAACTTCTTCATGTCCTTTTATTACTTCCCTCTGGACTATGCCACTCCTGGCTATGCTTCAGACTTTCTGGATTTCAACATGCCTCATCTATAATCCCACCCTGGAAAATCCCTCTGCTATGCCAGCCCCCTTCTCCTATTGGTGAGTTCTCCCATTTTGTGGAGGTTCCAGGCCAAACAACCTTCATTTCCCCTCCCAGCTGTGCTTCTGGCTTTCCAGACTTCAACATCATGCCTCATCTGGAACATCCATCATCCTCTGTGGCCTTCTCAACCTGGAACATCTCTCTGCTATGCCAGCCCTTTCTCCCATTGGTGAGTTCCTTTTGGAGAATCCCAGGCCAGCCAACCTCATTCCTCTCCCAGCTGTGCTTCTGACTTTCTGGACTTCAGCACTATGCCTTATCTGCATTCCCACCCTGGAATATCATCATCTCCTACATTCTTTTCTTCCATTAGTAGTTTGTCCTGGGGCCTACCTTTTATGGACAGTCCTAGGCCAGTTAACCTTCATTGCCTTTCTGACTTTTTAGACTTCATCACCATGCCTCATTTGCATCCTCACCCTGCAACATCCATTATCTTCTACAGCCTTTTCACCCTGGAACATTCCTCTGGTATGCTGGTGCCCTTCTCCTATTGGTAGTTTGTCCTGGGGCCTGCATTTTGTGGACAGGCCTAGACCATTGTCCTTTTGACTTTTTTGGACCTCAACATTATGCGTCTTCTGCATTCCTACCTTTGCAAATCCATCATCCCCTACAGCCTTTTCACCCGAGAACATCCCTCTACTATGCTGGCCCTTCTCCCATTGATGAGTTCCTCCTGGGACCTCCATTTTTGTAGGTGCCCAGGCTGGACTTCACTCCCCTCCTAGCTGTGCTTCTGACTTCCTAGACTTCAACATCATGTCTCTGTTCCAGATACCTTCCCACCCTCACCTCTCCCCACTTTCCATCTATCTTTTACATGTGTTCTTTTCCCCTATAAGCTTGTAAGCTCCTTGAGGGCAGGGACTGTCTTTCATTTCCCTTGTATTTGTATCCCCAGCACTTAACATTGTGCCTGGTACATAGTAAGTGTTTAATAAATGCTTGTTACCTTGCCTTGCCTATTGGGAATGGCTGTCATTATTATATATTTAAATCAGTTCCTTTATCTCTTGGATATCAGACATTTATTAGAGAAGCTTACTCCAAAGATTTTTTCCCCTCAATTCACCGTTTCCTTTCTAATTTTAACTGCCTTAATTTTGTTTGTACAAAATCTTTTCAATTTTATGTAATCAAAACTATTTTTATCTGCTATCATTTTATCTATCCCTTGTATGATTATAAAGTCTTTCCTTCTCTATGAGAATTGGCTATCTAAAGGAGCCCTGCCTTCAGTTTTTGTGAGTCTTTTTATAATGTATATAATCACTCCCTAAATAAGAGTTTAATCTGTTGAAACAATTTGTTTTGAAAAAGTTCAGATTTTTGTGTAATCAATTTTTTGCATAATCAGTTTTCTTCAAATGGAATATTTATCAGTTGCATCTCTTGTGCTACAAAGAAGGACACAAATCTGAGTTGCTCTGAACTCAAGCAAACTAAATAGAAATATGCAGGAAATAAGTTTTTAAAAAGAGGCGGGGTGCTTTTGATTTCACATATATTTTCTTCCTTTCCAGTTTTCTAATCTGTTTAATGTCTCCATTTTTTTTCTCAGTTCTGTTAGGTTTTCTCAGTTCGAGGACTTAGTACAAATTTGTAGTTTAACCACATCCTTTACTTCTTTTCCTTACTCTGGCTAATGATCTTTAGGCTATTTTGCTGTCTCTTAGTACTGCCATCAAAGATGAAAATGAAAGAAAAGGAAATTATAATAGGTATTATTCCAGTTATAATGGAGCATTTTTTGCTTACCATTCCACATGTCTAACATTTACTTAATCAGCTGGTCCCTCAAATTCAATGACTTGTAAAGCTTGCTGCTTTTGTTTTTTCACTGTAGGTCCTCTCAGTTAGGATTGATGATTTGGATCACCTGCCAGAAACAACCACCATTGATGCCTCTTCAATTGGTATAGTTCAGGTAACTCAAAGGAGACTCATTCACCTATATAGCACACTGACTACAAATGTCTTCCTGGTTTAGTGTGTTATCAGGGAATTTATGACCAGTAGCAAAGATGGACTGATCAGGAAGAGTGATAGCCTAGGGGCAGGTAGGTGACAAGTGGATAGTGCACCAGCTCTGAAGTCAAGAGGACCTGAGTTCAAATCCGGCCTCAGACCAAACACTCGACACTTACTAGCTGTGTGACCCTGGGCAAGTCACTTAACCCCAATCACCTCAGCAAAAAAGAAGAAAGATAGCCTATATTTTTGTTCTTTTGGTTTCCATGTAATGCCAAGAAATCTAGGAAAAGGTAGGAAAGCCAATGTGGTAGATTTATGGGAGGGCACAGACCAGAGTTATATAGAATATAAATAACATAGAAGATCCCCACATACATAAAGATAATTATTACTGTGAACAACCAATACTTGTTTTTATATGAGTTTAAGATTTATTTACAGATCCTGAAAATAATCTTTGAGTACTTAGACTTCTCCTTTTATGGATATTATGGCTGTTTTGTGGTTAGTTTTTAGTTATTATGTGATCCTAGCAAAATAACCTTGTCAGTTACTAAATTATTATTTTTTCTATAGCCTGAACTTGCTCTGGACCAGGGAGAATTACCAGAAGGGAAACATATAAAAGTTGCCAAAAGAAGTCACAAACGAAAGCAAAAACCTGATGAAGAGGAAGAAGCACTGGTATCTGAGGATCCCACGTTCAGTGAATACACAGAAAAAGAAGCTGAATTCACAGGGAGTGTGGGAGATGAAACAAATTCTGCTGTACAAAGCATTCAGCAGGTCAGTGCAGTCAGTCCTTTATTCTAAGAGTAAAGTAGAGTAATATCTACAGTCTAGTCATAAATGTTGGGATCCTAAAAACCAAAGATCCATTCCATAGAAATTTAAGTTATTAAAGAGAATAATGGGCCTAGATAATTTTTTTTACAATTTTCTTGTACTGGAATCTGCTGATTAGGGATACCTTTCACCAAATGTGTGTTTTGTGTGTGTGTGTGTCTGTGTCTGTTTGTTCCAGGATATCAGAACACCTCTTCTTTGTTAACTAGATTCTAAGTTATTACATTTTATTTATCCCACTAGGGAAAGAATGACGCTTTTTTTCATTACTGCTTAGCTGTGAAGTAAATTTTATTCTAGACTTCTAGCCTTATCTTCAGAGTGTGAATTTTCAATCACCAATGACAAATTTATCTTGAGTATTGAAGCAGACTGAGAACTTTGTTCCTCTGTCCTTTTCACAGTTGGTTTTCTTAATTTTTGATTGTTAAGGCTTTATGTTTCTCAACTTTATATCTTTATATTCTTTTATTTTACTTGAATCTCTTCTAGCACTAAGTTAATCTGAATTAATCTTTCATGAAAATACTACTACTGTTTTGAGGCAAGAAGTTTTATTTACTTCCTGCCCATTTCCACTGCATTATACTAACTTTACCACAGTGGTACATGAAATGTTTTAAAATATGAAGAAACTACTAAACCTAAATATATGATTTTATGTGATTCTCTCTAGGTGGTGGTGACTCTGGGTGATCCAAACGTCACAGCGCCATCTAGTTCAGTCGGTTTGACCAACATTACAGTTACCCCCATCACCACTGCAGCTGGAACCCAGTTTACAAACCTTCAGCCAGTGGCTGTTGGCCATCTTACTACCCCGGAACGCCAGTTACAACTTGACAACTCCATTCTGACAGTGACATTCGACACTGTCAGTGGCTCTGCCATGTTGCACAACCGCCAAAATGACATTCAGCTTCATTCTCAGCCAGAGGCCTCTAATCCCCAGTCTGTTGCCCATTTTATCAATCTAACCACCCTTGTCAATTCCATTACTCCCCTGGGGAACCAGCTAAGTGAACAGCATCCTCTGACCTGGAGGGCAGTGCCTCAGACTGATGTTCTACAGCCCCAGCAACAGCAAGTGCAGCCACAGACAGGACAGCCACAAGTTCAGAGTGAGCAACAACAGCAGATGTACAGTTATTAAGTTATATTACAAAAACTTTTATGAGAACTGTAAGGAATAAAAAACATTTTGAAAACTTTGAGATTTGTTGTTATATACCAAACAGAGTAAAAAAAAATCCCAACTATTTCATTGGTCACTATGTAAATGAAACCCAGCCTGTGCAAAACTGTCTCCAGTCCCCCATATCCATGTGTTCTATCAGCCTAATTCTATCAGCCTAAACTTGAGAGGTGGCCAACTTTTAATTAAGTTCAGATCACAATCCACTAAATAAGGTAAATAAGTCACAAATATTAAATATTCTTTTAACCTTTCTATTTAAAAACAAAAAAACTTTATTAATTTTCTTGGGATGGAGAATGGGAAACTTTAATGTCAAGAGAAGTAAGGTACTCAAAATTAAATGGCATTTTTTTCTTTTTCAAAGTTGGTTTCTCATAAAGCGCATATGAAAAAAATGGTTAAAAATGGAAAAGGGGATTTAAATGTGATAGAAATTTGTTTTGCAGTTATAAAACAAATATTAGGCCAGTTTCCTTAATTTTGGAAGCCAATTAAGTAAACAAAAAGTACCACTGTCCTCTTTGAATTTTCACCTAACTGAATTTCTTGCAACCATGTATTAGAACCAAATGTGAAATAACATATTTAATGACTTTTTCAAGCAATATTTTAAGTTGAAAGGCTGTCATAGTAAACAAATCTATAATGTGAATTTTCTGATTTACACATCAAAATATCTTTAGTAACTTGCCATTTTCATTCTTTTTCCTTCTCTTTTTATTCCTGAAAAGACACTGTACATTCAGGAGCCTGCTGTGGTCAGTGTCATCTTTCTTAACCTTATAAAATAATTTGCACTGAAAAATTATCTGTATCCCCATTTACATAGCTGTTCAGATATTTGGGGACATTTCTGTGATACAAAAAAGCAAATCAAAAATACTGTCATTTCTAGTATCCATTTTGGAAAAACCTCAGGATCCTTTAATATCTAAAAGTCTATCCTAAGACTAATGTCAGTAGCAGGGAAGAACTAAAATATTCATATATTTTTCTTTTATTTATACTTCAATTTCAAATGTTAAATTTTTTTAACAGTTTTATAAATATAAAATTGTTGACTAATACATTATGAAATTAAAATATATTGGTGAAATTCAAAGGCATTATAATTTAGTGAAAGGCAAAAGAGGTTATCCTTAGCAATGATTAAAGTTTATAATGGAAATATAATTGGGGTCTTAATCAGTGTACTTATTTGTTCTTCCTTGCAATCCCATTTGTATACACACACACACACACACACACATATATAGACATACACCTTATATATCTCTCTGTGGGTAGATGTGTATATATGTAGATATGTGTATACATACACATAAGCTACACACACAGACATGAGATAATGCCCAAGGTTCATTCATTGTCCCACTTGGTATCACATCAACCTTTATAGCAAGGAGCAAAAACTTATGGAGTTTTGTTTGTTTGTTTTTTAGAGCAAGAGTATTGAGTAGCCAATCTCCCAAAATAAGTGTTATAAGGAAAACAATTTTTTCCCAAATTTATCGCTTCTGAAATTTCTAAACTCTGTTGGGAAGAAAATTTAACTTACATTGCCTGTAACTTATTGTGTTTGATGTAGATGTTTAAGAGGTCTACCTTGAAGAAACAGTCTTTAGGTGATTAGTGAAAAATAAAGCTGTGTTAATGTTGTTGTCAGTGAGGCTTACTGTAAGAATGGCAGTTCCTTAGCATTTAACTTTAATCAAAATTGTAGATATTTTCAGACAAAATATGATTTGCTTTATGGAGTGTACTGTTTTCAGAAAATGGGAATGGCTTTCCAACACAGAATCAAAAAGCTGAAAGGGACCTTCTGAGAGGTTCCTTTCCTACACTAACCCCACTCTCCTCTGTTGAACTGCTCCAAAATCTACATCACTTAAATTAGATTTTATAATGGAAGTCTGTTATAATCACAGATATCATGACAATAGCCTAAAACTATATGGGAAGATTCATATTTAAAACAGAACAATTTTTAGTATTGTAGTCCACTGGTTTCTAAACTCAGTCCTATAAAGTCCAGGGTTCCAACAAAAAAAGAAACGGCAATGGTAGACAATTTAATTTTTCATACTGTGTTTTTTGATGTATGTATGTATGTATGTGTATATGTGTGCAAACAATATTTATAACAAAAACATTCAGTACTGCAAGCACAGCAATTTCATGAAATTAGGACTTTTGTGCAGTGTTTTATTGTGTATTCTTTAAAAATACAACTGACATATTCCAAGCACAGGTAGTCTGGAATTCCAGGCTATCAGGATTTTTTAAAGAGCTCCAGAGTTCTTGAGTAACTGAAAATCACTGACAATAAACTGTTCTTTAAAATGACCTAGTAAGGAGAAAAATAGGTTGGCTCATAATTGAAATAACTCAAGGCAACAAAGCTTTTCATCTTCCCCCATGAAATAAAGACTTTAAAAATCACCAACTTATTTTTTCCCAAGGAAGTTTTTTTGTGCCTACAGTGTCATAATGTTTGAAATAGTCTAATTAATTTTGTGGCCATGCTATGCCTCTCCTATTTTTTAAAGCCCATAATATACTATTTCGATGCATGAGGATGCTTAGTGAAATTCAGAATACTCAAGTTTCCTTCCAAAGTACAAACGTGTACTTCAACTTAAAGAGTTCAGTACTTGAAGTAAAGTAGATATCTTACAGTAAAAAAAAAAAATCTGTGAATTTGCATATCAGAAAATGGATAGCAAAAAGTACTACTCAGCCAAAAGAGATATACTGTATATTGTTCTGTGTATATATAATTGTTTATTGACAGAAAGTATTCTATTTAATTTTTAAAAAAACATATACCATGGTGCACAGACCTATCTGCAAAGAAAAAAAATAAAGTAGAAATTTTGTGGTCATCTAGTCCTGTGAAGACATCTTAGTTATGAATTAATAAATCTTTAAGGACCTATTTTTTGCCTGTGAATTCCTTTTAAAGTTACTTTTATGTAGTTGTATGCAATATGGCAATGTAAATCTTATAAAAACATAACACAGGGTACAATAATAATTGTTAAAACATTGATTATGTGCTGCATGTTGATAGGAGAAGAATATGATGCCTCCCAAGAGACCATGGTTTGTGATATTTTCTCTCAGGAAAATGTACTGTATTAAGTGCCATTACACTGTATCTAATATTAAACTGTTTTGGAGAATTCCAGGTATGGAAAGTATATTTCATATACATAACACTTTTCTTTCCACCTGTTCAGAGTATCCAAAGGCTTTACATCTAAACTCCGTATTGGTGACTTTTATTGGATTTTTAAAAAGGTATTTAAGACTGTTTTGAGAGATTGTCTCTGCTTTCATTCAGTTTTTTTTTTAATGATGATCAAATAAAAGGTGCTGTACTATCTGACTTTAAATTAATGGACTCTGCTAAACTTCTCATCTTAAAAAGTAGACACTATGTGAATGTATATTTGGTCCATTACCAATTCTCCCCAAAATCTCTTTTATTTGAAATATACCCCCAACCTCTGAGGTGCTAGTGAGCTTCATAAAGAGTAACAAGATACATGTAGTATTTTTGACCAAGCATGGACCAAAAAGAAGACTAAAGAAATACAAATTTGAAATAACATAATTGGGTAAGCAAAAAAAAAAATGTAGCTGTTCAAGTAGAAGCTTTGTAGAGGAAAAAAATAGGAATGATTGTCTGGGATATCACCATTCGAATTCTAATCCTCTTTATTTCCTAGTTATAAAAGGCTTAGGGTAGAAATTTTAAATACCTAAATTCACCTTTAGTAATCTTGCTTTTGAGGATTTGTGAGAGAAGAGAACATGTGTCTCAGCATCCTTTATTATCTGAAGATGATTCTGCTCCTAGTAAATTGAGGTGTGTTATCTACAGGTATGTATTAGCTTTGCTAAAGAAAGGCACTCTTTCAAACCACTTGAAATAACTTATATTTGTATAGCACCTAAATATAGGTATGAGATGCTTGACATACATTCTCATTTAAGCTTCACAACAGTACAGCTAAATGGCTCATTCAGACAAACCCAGAGGTAACAAGGTCACCCAGCTATCACTCAAATCTTAGTCTTTTGACTCCAAAATTAGAGTTCTTTTCACTAGAATTAAAACAGGCAATATGGATGTATACAGAGTATATATAAACTGCCATATCCAGGTGTTATGCATTAAAAATAGATATACAAAAAAATACTGGAGTCACTGGCTGTTCATTTCTATCTTCTACTTCCCCATCATCCAAGCTAAAAGTAGAAGGTAGCAACAGGAGCCCTTACAAATGGGATAAGAACAATCACATAATCACAGATTTAGAGCAAGAAGGAACCTTAAAAGTTCTAAAGCATAATCTAATTTTACAGAGAAGAAAACTAAGTACTGAATAGAGAGGATGGAGTGTACCTAGAGGAACCGGCAATTACTCCATTTCTCCATGTTTCATACACAAAATGTTCAATGACCGTTCGTGTTGTAAAGAAAGAAGCTCTTATACTCTATAGGCCAGCACCAAATGGTTTATAGATTAAAATTTCAATTTGCAAGTAAACTCATTTTGATTCAAAATAATTGAAGAATGCATTTTTTTTCTTTTTGGTTAACTGAATACTCTTTGATAAATCATGCATGGATTACCAGTTTTGAAAAAATAAAAATATACCTAAGAACTAAAATTACACAAAATACAATCAGACAACACTTAAAGATCATATAGTGCCCAAGAATATCAGTTCATTTGTTGGATGACTAGTAAATCGTTGTCTTTATTTCTCTAAAGCAATCTGTGGCCTGGCCCTTCTACTAAATTAAACTAGGTTCCTTATTTAAAACAATTTTCACATCTAAATTATATAATAATCTTCAGTGAAAAAGAAAAATCTCCATTCTAGAAAGACAATGTTGTTCAATTACCCCTGAAAACAAACTGGAGAACATAGGCTTCATCTGAAGAACTTTGATTAGACACAACTAGTAAAAGACTAGAACAAAGCATTTGTGCACTCTTTGAAGTAAACACACATAACCCTTGAATACGTTGCTGATCATCAGAAGCATTTAAGCCTTCCCTATAAAACATACAGTTAATCACAAAATAAACGCCTTGAATAAAACCTTGAAGACTGGCATTATATAGCATTAAATATATATTTATGTGAAGTAATTTATTAAATGTCCCTTGAAACCGAAATTCCCCTTTATCCCTGATGTTGCTCCCTAGGCTGCCTATCTTGCCTACCTCTAAAAGGAACTAATATCATTAAGAATCAAAATTAGCCACTGACAAAAAATGTGGCATTGCTTCTAACCTGACATTGAAAGGGAACTACATAAAATATTAATTCTAGATGTACTCCTATTTGACAGAAAGAAGCTACTGAATGACATTTTGTAGTTATAAAAGCACAGAGAAATAAAAACCAGATGGTTTTCCAAAAATTCAGCAAAACTCAAGGTAAAAAAAAATTTTTAAGTACCTAAAGAGGTAACACTTTGCAGGAGGGAAGCTTGATAATGTTACTCAGCAAGTAAACACTTTGCAAAAGCACTTCAAATTAGAAAATACAAAAATAGATGCAATTTATAATGTGAAAGTTAAAGTAATAAACCATACCCAAAAAATTACAACTATTTTTTCACGAATGCCACTGTATCATAGGTGCCTTGTTTTGATGTTTTCCCACTGAAATTTTTTTAAAAGACACCCACCAACATTCTCCCTTGTTTCTTTATAATTCTTTAAAACATGTCAAGATTATTTTATAAAATTTTCCACAGGACAAAAAAATATATAAAGTACAGGAAAAAATGTGAAGTGAAAATCTAACGTGTTTTAAAAATCAATTATTATCATGTTTAATAGGAATGTATATGTATAGCCTATATCAGATTGCAAGCAGTCTTGGGGAAGGGAGGGGGAGAAAATTTAAAACTCAAAAGCTTATGGAAGTGAAAGTTGAAAACTAAAATTAATTTTTAAAAAAATCAGTATTATCATCACGCACAAACACATTAATAAGTCTCTAGACACACATCCAGGTGTTCCCAATTACACTTTGGTCTAGATGACGCCGGAAAACCACTTTCCCCTAGAATATTTTAATGATTGTATAAGATGCTTGATCCAGCTCTGCCTGAATTCCTCCTTCTCAAGACTCCCTCCTCCCCCCTTCTTCTCCTCCTCCTCACACCCCTCCCCCACTTTTCCTTCTCTCCCTCTCCCCTCCACCTCCCTCCCTGCTCCCCCTCCCTCATCCCTTCCCCCATCAGCCAGAGATGGAAGCGAGGCTGGGGCCCGTTTGCTCGAACGCTCGTTAACGTTGCTGACGTTGAGTGACTTTGACGTACTTTCCTCGCTGCTCTCCCCTTCCTTTCCTCCAGTGAGGAAGACGGCAGTCGTGTCCTGCGTCGTGTCCTGCGTCTGAGTCTGAGCTTCGAAGGGGGTTCCTCTAGGGTGGGGAGGGGTACCGTGGGCAGGGATACCTTACTGGCTTCCCTCGGGGCACTGGCCCCATCTCCATTGCAGCCCCGGGCCTGGGGGGGTTAGCGGGGCAGAAGCGCCCCTCTCCCCCGGGGGGCCTGGGCCTTGTCGTCTAGAGCCGCGTTTCCTCACCTGTGCTGCTTAACTAATAAGTCTCTCCTCCCCAAGGTCTCTGGAAAAATCAGACAAACTCGGCTTATTTTTAAAAATCTTCCTCAGTAATGGCCCCGAGGAAGAGGATAAAGCCTTCTGAGCTAGTTCTGCCGTGCGAGTGGAGTGATTGCACGTTTGTAGGAAAGTGCATGGAGGAATTCTGCGATCACGTTGCTAGACACTTGAGAGAACACCTAAATGACTCACAGGAGAAATTAGGTAATAGGTTCAATGGATGTCCCCAAGCACAGTTTACCTTTTATTTTTCTTGACAGAAAAAACTGGCAAAAGTAGACAAGGGTTAAAACTCGCTTGTGGGCATAAAACTAAATTGGGCTTGGTTGGGAATAACTGTTTCAAAATGCTTGATTGTAACGTTATCGAATAACCAGATAAATTAGTATTGAGATCTTTGAATTTGTTGCCGTGTTGGTAGTTTAAAACAAACAAAACCCAATGCGATGTATGTGCCAGCGTTTGACATAATTTTTTTTTTTGAGGCGTATGCTTGAGTTAAGTCCTTCAGGTTCCTTTGAGTCAGACTGTTGTCACACTTGGAATTTTTTTGAAGAAACTTATTTTGATGGTGATGAAAGCTCTCTCCAATTACTTTGATACAACTAAAGTACTTCCTTGTCTAAAGGAGTAATTCACCGCTATGAACAGTGGGAAGAAAATTAGATTTTTTAAAATTGAGTAGCCTTCATTTTAAAATGTTATTAAAGTTTTCGAGACCATCAATTTAAGGCTTTTGTGCTAACTAGATTACTATTAAAATTGTAGATTAAGACTTTATAAATATTAATTTAGATGAAGAAATTTATACTTATTGATTTAAAGAAAAGTTCTTTTGATCTGCATTTCATGGATAGTTTTGTATGCAAAGGAAATCTACTTAAGTTTTTTCCCAACACTTGGTCAGTTTAAGGCATGGTCCTAGGTGCTGCAGAAATTATAATATTTAAACATATTTAATAAACATTTTTCAAGTACTTATTAGGTACAGGGATTCATTGAGGGTCATGGAATATTCAAAAATAGATATATGTGAAGTTGGCAAGCATTTATAATCTACTTGAGGCAAAACAATCCTAACTGAAAAAATAATGAGAGAAATAATATTTAGGAATAATAAAGTAAATGACAGCAGTACACTATGGTTGCAAATGGAGGAATAGGCCAATAATTGCTAGAGAAGTGAGGGATCAAGCTGGAATGCTCAAGAATTGCTTTATGAAAGACATTAGTGGTGTGCAAATCTTAAATGATGATTAAAATCTGGATAAGGTAAAGGGATGGAAGAGTATTGTTTCATGAAGCAAGGATAGGAAAGTGCAAAATCAGTCAAGTATTTTTGTTTCTCTTTATTGTGTACAAGTACTGTACAAGATTATAATTGCCAATAAACAAGTGGGACAAAGCTGTGTTTAGGGCATTAGTTAAAAAAAAAAGATGGTAGCAGAGGGTTTATATAGAAAACTGATTATAAGGCTGGAAAGGTCAGTGGAAGGCAATTAGGCAGGTCCATGAGGCTGAATTTGGAACTCGTCCTGAAGATATAGGGTAACCTTTGAAGTTTTGTTTTGTTTTTAATATGAGTGAAATGATTGAAATGATGTTTTAGGATTGTTAATCTGGTGAGGTTTATTAGATACATAAGAGATGATCTGATAGTGTGGTATATTGGAAAGCAATAAGGGTTTTGAAAAGTCAGTTTATTAAGTCCTTACTATTTTGGAGGCACTGTGCTAAGGGTTTGGGATACAAAAGCAAAAAGACAATCCCAGCCCTTAAGGAGTTTATAATCTAATGGGTGAAGACAACATAAGCTATATACAAAATAAATAGGAAATAATCATCAGAGGGAAGGCACTAGAATTAAGAGAGATTGGGAAAGCTTCCTGTAGAAGGTGAGATTTTAGCTAGGACTTGAAGGAGGAGGGAGCTTTTCAGTTCTATGCTGTCCCCCCTGGGACACACAAAGATGGAGTGTCTTGTTTGGGGAACAACAAGGAGGCTGCTATCACTGGATCAAGGAGTATGTGAGGTTCAACATTAGAAAGATGAGCAGAGGGGACTAGGAAAGGAGGAAGTTATGAAACATGAACACCAAGAAGAGGATGTTGTATTTGTTCCTAGAGGTGACAGGAAGCTATTGGAGTTTATTGAATAGGGAAAGGAGGAGAAGATAAGGTTAGAACTATACTTACAGGAAAATCACTTTGGTAGCTAAATGGAAGATGGACTGAAGTGGGAGAAACTGAGGACTGGCCAACTGACCAGCAGGCTACTGCAGTGGTCCAGGTTTGTGGAAGTGAAGGCCTGCATCAGGGTGGTAAAAATATCAGAGGGTAGAAGCAGGGATGTTGCAAGGTGAAGTGTACAGGTGTTGGTAACAGATTGAATATGGGGGGTGAGAGAGAGTAAAGAGTCTACACCTAAATTGGCACCCTAGATGACTGAGGGGAACCGATGGTGCCTTTGACAGTGATAGGGAAGTTTGGAGGAGGGGAGAGTTTTGGAGAAAAGATAAATTCTGTTTTGGACACGTCAAGTTTAATAGGTCTACTAGTCACTGTTCTTTAGAAAATTGGAGATATGAAACAAGGTCAGCAAAGTAAGGTTAGGGCTGAATAAGTAGAGTCAAGAGGGCCTAGATCTAGATTCTGGCCCTGCCAGTTTTATGACCGTGGGCAAGTCACTTAACCTCTCAGGGCCTCAGTTTTCCTCACCTGAAAAGTGAATGACTGAAAAATATTATTTCTAAGAACCTTTTCAGCTCGAAGTCTGTGATCATTAGGTCAGCTAGGAGACTGTTGAAATAATCAGGCTTGAAGTATAATAAGCCAGGCTTTTTTTTTTTTGAAGGTGACTATAGCTAGGGTATTGACAGTGGATATGAAAAAAAGTCAAGAGAGAGATTTCACAGAAAAGTAATGATAATAAAGTAATGAATCCTCATCATTATAAACCTCAATACTTAATATGTGTGCATGTTACCTCCAATAAAAGATAAGCTCTTTGAGGAGAGAGACTATTTTATTTTTGTCTTTGTATTCCCAGTACATATCACAGTGCCTGGCACTTGATGCTTAAAATATGGCATTTGAATGTTACTGTTGAATTTCATGGTGAGAAAAATTGAGTTAAAAGAATATTATAGTTGCACAGGATCACTCAGGTGAGTAGTAATGGAGCTATCATTAAAGTCTAGTTAGTGAGTCAGCCACTCTAATTTGTGATTTTACAGATCCCCAAATTACCTAGTATTTTAAAGTATTGATCCAGAGTAGTAGGTTGTTTGCAAAAGGGGTGGGGAGAGGTAAAAAATGAGGAGGCTGTTAATTAAGGGGAAAAAAGAATGGATCAGAAAATAACTGGCTCTAGTTTTGTGAGGTGGCAAAAGAAAAACTAGTTTAGCTCAACCTGGATTATAGGGAGGTATTTCTTGATTTTTCCAGTATATTCTATCATGCTTTTTATAAGCATTGAAAAAGCTTTCTACTGAACTAAAAATTTGAAGTACTAAGCAAACATAACTAAATGTTGAAATAGATTATGCCAGTGTGAAAATCATAGATTTGAAGCTGGATGGTTGTTGGAAAACATCAAATCCAACTCCCTCATTTTTATGGGAACAAATTTATGTGACTTATTCAAGGAAAAATGAGTATCAGAATTCTTGAAGAGCTAAGAACTCTTCTGAAGTCCTATGACTTCAAAGAGATTTTCCCACTATGCTGTCTCAGAATTGTGGCACTTAAAATTATTATGTTGGGAATCATGCCATCATGATTTGAAAGGCCTTTATAACAATAAGCAATATAGGTAATAAACAACAAAAAGTAAATTTGGGAACCTTTTGTTGAGTAATTAAAATGCAGAAGGTGTGCATTGTCCTTTTTCTCAGGAAACTTGCAGTGGGGGAACAAGACGTATATAAATATGATACAAAACAGAGCGTGATGGTGCATGAAAGGTATAATATACTATTTTCTTGAAGAAATGGGAATATTTTACTGGAGTGTTCAGGGAAGATTTTGTAGAAGAAGCAACATGAGCTGAACTTTGTAAAATAAAATTCCATCTTGGTAGAAATATAGGGATTGCTGGAGATAAGGTGATTTGAAGAGCAAAGTACTAAATGGAAATTGGGAAGTCTGGAGAACAATTTTTCTGTTTGTTTTGGGGGAAGAGGATATTGTTCTATTTGGGGCATGTTGAGATGTTGACAGGAATCCAGGTGAAGGTATTCAATAGGCAATAGATAAAGGCCTGGAATAATTCAGGAGAGAGATTAGAATAGGATAGGTAACTTTGGGGAACATTTGAATGAAGTTAATAATTGAAACCATAGGAAGCTTGTGAAATCACTAAGAAAAGCGAAGTACAGAGAACCTAAGAGAGAGCTAGGGTGAATATCCAAGATAAGGGGAACAGAATAGATGATCATCCAGGAAAGAAGAATTGAGAATACTGGTAGCAGGAACAGCATGAGAGGGCAAAGTCAAGTAATCCAAGGGATGGAAGAGTAAAGAGTAGACTAGGGTGATCAACACTAGCAGAAAGTTTTAGAGAAGTCAGGGATGGAGGACAAAGAAAAGACTTTTGGAGTTAGCAGTTGAGATGGGATTTGGAAAGAAATTTCATTCAAGTGGTAGTGTCAGCCAGATTACATGGGACTGAGAAGTGAACAAGTTGTGAGGAATTGGAGGCAATGAGTGTAGTCTTTTTTCCCCCAGGAGTTGGGCAGGCAGTAAAAATGAGGCGATATAAGGCATAGTAGCTTGAAGGAGGGTCATGTGAAAACATTATTGCATTTCCTGCACTGCTTAGAGCCCAAGGGAGCTTTTTCATTGGGAAGAGAATTCTCTGAACTGTGTTTCCCAAAAGGCTGTATGTTATCCAGTAAGGATGCTCTGTATTTCAAGGGGTTTGAAAAGTGCTGAATTTGTCCCTTTCCTGCTCTGTTGGAGTTACAGAGGAATCCTATAGGAAATTGACTAGTACTCTCATGAAGGCATAGGAAATGACGCCATTTCTTTATTAGTACAGGGAATGTGTGTTGCCTGATTCAGGTTCCTTTTGTATTTCCTTGCCATTCTGTTATAAGTAAGTGCCTTCTGCTTTTGAATTAATGTTATTTAGCATGGACTAGTATAGATATGGTAAGGGCTTGAGTCCTGCTATGAATAGATGATCACCTAAGCAGTACTTTAAACCTAAGTTTAAGCTAAGAGAGGGGTTCCATAAGGATAAGGGAGACCTGAACAGGTTTGTAGGCAAGGGAGGAGAGAAAGACTGTCCAATGTGATGATCTCCCAGAGAAGTTGACTAAGAATGGGATTGTGTATACAGGTAGAAAATTTGGTCTTGGCAAAGAGGAGGGACCACTTCTTCCTCACAAGCCTGGAATAAAGGAGGGGAGAACGGGTAAAGATATTAGTGGATTTTTGACATGTGGAATAGGAAAGACAAGTATCTCCATTTTCTTAGTAAATTGGAAAGTGAGGTCATATGCTGAGAGAGGTATGGAGGTGTAACCCATGGGGCTTGATAAGAGAGAGGTTTGGAACAGCTGCTGGGGGTAGTAGTATACAGAGTCAGTAGTATATAATAGCAAAACAGTTATGGATTTAAGAATTGTGATTCACTGTATTTTAATATTAAAGATTAAAAGGTTACCATGTAGTGAAGACTGAGACATAATTGATGTTATGTTTATATAAAGTAAGTAGATAATTGACAAATATGAAAGAGATGATTTGTGATTACAGACCTAATATGGTACCTAATGTGATGTGCCTAAACTTTTACCTCAGATGAAAGCAGGTGAAAATAAAATTCCTAAAATGTGCATAGACTCCAAAAAAGGAAGCACAGGTAGGTGAAACAGCTTGCTTAAGGTTTCTTAGATAATTACAGAGCCAGGACTAGAACTTGTCTCTTGCCTTCTAGTTCAGTGTACTTTGAACAATACCCCAAGTAAACAGTACTAAGAATTTGTTAAATATCAATTTGAATTATATATTTTTCCTTATTTAAGAAAAAGGGACTAGAGACACTAAAAAAAAAATTTTGTGTTTGATGAGATGAAGGGTAACCAGATGCTGAAATACCAGTGTAGAAATTTATTGCTAATAAATGATAGAATTAAAACAACCATATTAATATTTCAAATAAATATCATAAATATAATTTGCATATGATCAAATACTGTCCTGTGAACACTGTGTTTTACACTTGTAGAACTTCTTGTCTTCTCTTTATATTTAGAACAGTATCAGTGTCTTTGGAGAAGTTGTGAATTTTGTGCAGCTGGTCCCAATGAATTGATAATTCATGTGAATTTTCATAGTTATCACACTAAACTGAAGTACTTAGGCTCTCAAATGAGAGCATATCACCAAGATTTGCCAGAATGTTCACAACGTAATCACAGCCAAAATATGGTACCAGAGATTGCAGACACTTTTGTTTGCTGTTGGGAGCACTGTGATGTAAGTAAAGCAGTTGTCATGGTAATCCTTTTTTCTTTTTCTGTTCTATTTTTGCCTATTTCTCCCTGCTGGGAAAGGTTTAATTTTAGTATAGATAAATGTATTTTGCTTTAATTTGCAAATTATTCTTATTTTATTAAAAATAGCTTTTTAAAAGGACATATAAAATATTTTACAGATTCACTTTACATACATAATAGTCCCTCACTCCAAAATCCTAGTCATAATGGAAGGGAGGGGGTGATCTTGCATTCCACACTGGCAAGGCACAAGCTTTTCTAAGTCCTATTAAACTGGAGGGGGCGGCTAGGTGGTGTAGTGAATAGAGCATTGGCCCTGGATTCAGGAGGACCTGAGTTCAAATCCGACTTCAGACACATAACACTAGCTGTGTGACCCTGGGCAAGTCACTTAACCCCCATTGCCCCCCCCAAAAAAACCCTATTAAACTGGAAAAGCTTCTAATTAAGGACTTAGTGACAGACCATAGATATTAACATAGGATCCCCATCTGGTTAAATTTGAAGAAGCTCTTTGCCAGATTTGCCAAAGGATGAAGCTGTAGTTATTCTCAAATTTCACATGCTAACTTGCGGACAGGTTTTCTTTTATATTGGAAATAAAAATCCATACTGATGAAGCTATAGATTCTTAAAGTATTATTTGTATATGTGTATGTACATATATAAATATATATTGTTTCATATAAGTTACATAGCAAAAAAGTTAAATTTATCGGAACATTTTCTTTTGTTGGCAGGGGGAAATGACAGTTTTATGAGTATTCTGTCATTTTCTTAAATTGTAAAAGCTTTTATGACAATATAGAACAGATATATTCTAAGATAATGAAATGTCTGTAACTTCTTATGGAAGAAAGCAGTTAGGTAATTTCTGCCTAGCATTACCTAAGCAAAAAATGAGAGAATATTTGTGGGTATTAGACATTTTTGAAATTGGTAATTTTAAAGCACTGTTTTTAAAAAACTGGATGGTTTGTGTATTAGTAAGAAAGTGAGAAGTTTTTATAGTCACCAGTTTAATGTGTTTTTAGTATTTAATGTCCATTTAGTGAATATCTCCTTTCAAATAACTTTTTCTCCAAAATTTGAATAGGCATAAGAGAGTATGTATCCTTATTTATTTTTTCAATTTTCAATTCAGGAAAAATGATAAATAGTAATATTTAATATAGGATGATATGATAGGCAATACTGACCTTATTTAATCCCTTTTGTCAGAATTTGCATTGTTATCCTTGTTTGTACCATTTTTCTTCTAGTTGCATGAATGAATTAATATTTATGCAATGTTTTCAGATGACTATCAATAACCCAGAATGGTTTTATCAACATGTTACCATGCATGCTTACTGTGCTGAAAATGAAAGTCTCTTAAACAATAGAAAAGCCATCTTCTGTCGCTGGAAAGGTAGTGTGCAGATTTTTAAAACCAAAATAGTTCTATTATTTCTTTATGTAGATTAGTGTTGTATGTTGTCATTGAATGATTGCTTATTTATATGAATGTGTCGTATGACCTGAAAATATTAAATTTAGAGGAAACTTTAAGAAAGCATAAAGCCCAGAGGAGAAGGACCTTCTGTTTATTTAGATACAGAAATTATTGAGATAATATTGGCCAAGCCCATTACCCACAGTGTCAAAAACTTTTCAGAATGGGGTGTCAAGTTCTAACACTATTCTTCTACCTACTTGAGCAAGAAGACTATAATAGCCTACCTTGGTCTTTAAGTTGATCCCCGATTGGCAAACCCCAAGGTATAATGTTTCTCTAAAATTTTGGGTGGGAGCTAGAGATTAGAATATAGATGATACAGATGTGAAAGAGGCTGTTCCATGGCCTCTCTGCCCTGCTTCCCTTCCTAGAAAGCTATTTTCCTGTTGTATGTTTCAAACTGGTTGTTTGACATTTGAATATGGCCAACCTTCCCCCTTCCAAATTAGCCTTAATTTGTTGAAAGCATGACCATTCTTCCAGTCTCTCATGTACCTCATGTTGGCACTTACACTTAACTTTTCACTCTCCCTTACCCCACAAAAGCAGTCAGTTTCCAAATATTGCCATTTCTACCTCTGCAATATCTCTGACATCCTATACCTTCCATGTACTTACACAGTGGTCACCTTAAGAAGCTTTTGTTCCCTCTTCTGATTACTGAAGCTACTTCTTTTTTTTTTTAAATTTTAAATTTTTAAATTTTTAAAAATTTTATTAGTTTACTTTGATTTATCAATAATCACTTCCATATGCTTTTGAGTTTAAAATTTTTCTTCCCCTTCCTCCCCACCACCCTCCACAAGACAGCGCACAATCTGATATAGGCTATACGTTTACATTCCTATTAAACATATTTTCACATTAGTGGTGTTGTAAGTAAAAATTAAAACCAATGGGAGGAACCATCAGAAAGAGGAAACAAAACTCAACAGAAGACAAAAAAATAGCAATTCAACTTTCATAGTTCTTTCTTTGGAAGTGGATAGCATTTTCCATCACAAGGCCTCTGGAGATGTCTTAGATCCTTGTATTGCTGGAAAGAGTTAAGTTTATCAGTATTAGTCATCACACAACGTGGCTGTTATTGTATACAACGTTCTCTTGGTTCTGCTCACTTCACTCAGCATCAGACCATACACGTCTTTCCAGGTTTTTCTGAAGTCAGCCTGTTCATCATTTCTTATAGCATAACAGTATTCCATTACATTCATATACCACAACTTGCTCAGCCATTCCCTAATTGATGGGTATCCTCTCAATTTCTAATTCTTTGACACCACAAAAAGAGCTACTGCAGCTACTTCTAATTGATCTCCCTGCATCAAACCTCTTCATGATGTAGTCCATCCTGCACTGATGCCAAAGAATTTTTCTTAATGGTAGCTCTGACTGTGTCACTCCCTGATGCACTAAATTCGGTGGTTTATTTCCTCTAGAATAAATTTTTAAATTATTCTGTTTAGCTTTTAAAGCCCTAAGTCTTGCTCCAGTTCATCTTTTCCAGTGTCATTGGTTATCACTTTCCCTCCCATACTTTGAAGTACAGCCACAGTGGCCTTTTCTTTGTTCTCATACACACAAAATCCCATCTGTTTACACCTTTTCACTAACTCTCACTACTGTCCACTACTTCCTCAACTCTGCTTTGTAGAATCATTCTTTTCTTTCAAGATGCAATTCAAAGTCTTTCCTGATCCCTTTCAATTGCTAGTGCCCTCCCCAAACTACCTTGTAGTTAACCTCTTTGTTAATATTTACATGTATGCATATTTGTGTGTATAAATAAGTATAAATATTTATATAACATATGCTTCTTGTCTTCACCATTAGAATACAAGCTCCTTTTAGGTAGGAATTAATTAATCTATTACATATGTGTCCTTAGTGTGTAGCACAATACCTAGCAAATAATGAGTGATTGATAAATACTTCACTGAATAGATTTATTATTGTCAATTACTAAGGTAGGTAATGAATCCAGGTCTCCTGACTCAAGATCTGCTACTCTTATCTTTTACGCAGTGCTTCCTTGACAACTTCACAGTAAAGAAAATCATCCTTATGTCTAACCATTGAGTCCATTTCCTCTTATACTTTTCTTAGTTAAAATGGAAATCAGCCAGCTATACTTATGTGTGTGTGTGTGTGTGTGTGTGTGTGTGTGTGTGTGTGTGTATGTCAGCCATTACTGAGTTCATTCTAAGAAAGATAAAAAAATTAGGCTGCATTTGCATGTTTATTTTTCTCAAAGCTTGCAGAACATGAATATAGAGATATGCGTGGGAGCTCATTGTGGAAAGTCAGCCCAAGGACAGACAGACAGAAGGGACTTTATATCTTCAGATTAATTGCCTCTCACCTCTCCCTCCCTTCCTGGCTCAGGATGCCTATGTCAGCCAAAATTATAGTCCCCATATGTGTTAACCATAATAAGAGAAAGGAATTTCTTAATTGGTTAGATTGTTAAGTTCAGTAGGATGAGAAAATGTCAAGGTATCAATTGAAATTATAGATCCAGGATATCTGTGTTTCTTTTATCTTTAACATAACTATATGTATATATATGTATATATATAAATGTATGTATACACACACATGACTATATATAAGACTATCTATATACATATATACATAGTTATTTACATAATATACATACATACACATGTGTGTGTATCCATCCATACATACCCCCCACATATATGTAGCATAACATGTGTCCATAAAATACCAAGATAAGAAAAAGTCCCATTTTTCAACATACTGTCTGGTTCAAGGCATCCTGCCCTGGAGAGTCATAAGCAAAAGAATACTCCTGAGCAGCTTCATTTGGTCTTGTAGATGCTGACACAGGAAGGGGCATTTTGGGTTCAGTCAGAGAGCAAAGCAAAGCATGTCTGTTATGCCAGAGCATGCAAAGTATTTTGGTAGGTTAAGCTCAGAGTGGGCTAAAATATCTTTCTCCTGATTGGCCAATCCAGGTTTTAGGCCTTTCTCAAGTCTTGGAGGTTCAAAATGGTTTGGGGAGTGGTTCACTATATACATATACATATATATTTACACACATGCACACATACATATATGTGTGTATGTATAAAATAGCCTTTAAGATATTTAAAAATCAGTGTTGCCTTTTATATAATTTTCTTATTTTTGGTAAAGATTTCTATTATTTTTTGCTTTTAAGTTGTTTTGGTCTTCCTGACTCCAGGCCCTGCACTCTATCAATTGTGCCACCTAGCAGCAAAAAACAAACAAAACTACACAAATTAAAAACTGCCAATATCATGCTATCTTTGCAGAAGTATTACAGAAAATAATTAAGTTCAAAGTGAATAAGAAGCTGATTGTTATCAATATTTTGATGTTTTTAAAAAGAATACACATAGTAGTACACATCAGATTATATAGGAGTATCCTTATCAATGGGCAGAAATTTTTATACATTACTGTACAATGATTATACATTATAAATAATTGTACAGTGATTCTTATCATTCAGCATCAAAGTTCTTTACACAGGTTTTCTCCACCAGGCAATATCTCTTCATAGTTCATTCAACATATTTGCATGTATCATCTTGCTGATATAACTTCATTTCAACATGCTGTTTTGAATTTATTTAGTGTATGGTGAGGTGAGTGAGGCACAAACATGGCAGTTTATATCAGCAACCCCCAGAGAAGTCCTCCAGTGTGTCATTCAGAGAATCAGAAAATGACCTTGAAGTTAGATTAACCACTACCAGAAGTAGGACTCTCATCTACAATGTCCCTGATAACTGGTCACCTAGACCAAAGTTCAAATCCAGTGTCAGACACTTACTAGATGTGTGACTCTGAGGAAGTCACTTAACCTTGTTTGCCAGTTTCCTCATCACTAAAATGAACTGGAGAAGGAAATGGCAAACCACTCCAGTATCTTTGCCAAGAAAACCCCAAATGAGATCACAGTCAGTCACAACTTAAACAACTGAACAACAACAGTGTAGTGCTGTTGTGTTTCTATTGAATTCCATCTCTTTGATGGCTATCATTTTTCTAATTTAACAGCTCACTTTAAAATTCCTGTTTTGTCCATGAAGATAGTATTTAAGCTCTTGGTTTATCCATCAGCTTTTGCGCTTATGTTTTATTTTATAGTGATGAAAGTATTAAATATCTTTAGGCTGTATGTACATATTTGAAGTGGCTTTTCTTGGTCACCTCCCACCCTTTATGTTTTGAAGTTTATTTTTTTGGTTTGACTTTTTTTAATTGCGTGAAATAAAAATAAAATGCCACTTCATTAAAAGCTTGACATAAGTAGCTTTTCATTCTTTTACATAGCTTTTAATTGACATTTGAAAAATATATGTAGATAGAAGTATGCTGTATTTATTTTTTCTCTATAAAGCACTATAGTAGTTCTCCCTTATTAAACATAAGGTAATTATTTCCTTTTCTACTTCATAAGTACTTCATTAAAATCTAAGAAAACATTGTTTAGTTGATGAAATTTTTCTGTTAATCTAATATGGTATCTATCTTTAGATTGTGATGGCACATGTAAGAGTCGGCATAAATTAAGAGAGCACTTAAGAACACATACTCAAGAAAAAGTAGTGGCCTGTCCCTCTTGTGGAGTGATGTTCTCCAACAATACCAAGTTTTTTGATCATGCCAAACGACAGATTTCAGAGGATAGTAAGTAGATTTGGTATCCCCCTCCCTTCCCTTCAACTGTCTTTAACAGAATTCCCTGTGCTTGGGTTATATATGAGGATATTTTGGTGCATCAAGCATTTTTCTTTTGGGTGAATGTATTGATTTCATCAGTATGGAGATCTCCCAGTGAGGAACTCCCTCTACTAGTACAGATTATCAACTTCTCTGCAGTTTACAGTCTTAGGAAGGGCCAGGTAGGGGCATAGGGGAGACTGAAGGGCTAAATATCTTGTCCAGGCTCATACCGCTGGTATCAGAGACAAATTTGGCCACAGGTCTTCTGACTTGTAAACCAGTTCTCCATTCACAGTGCAGAGCTTATTTTCCATTCCCAGTTTATCCTGCCAAATTGTACAGTATTTGAAATGAGAGATGGATAGAAAGGTAGAATACAATAAGGCAATATTTTCAATTGATTCTTCCCTCTGGAACTGTGACAGTCCCAAATTGAAAAACGTGTCCATGTTTAACACTTTATAATTTTGCAAAATGTATTGGGAGTAATGGTGGCCTCCAAGTCTGGAAGATCTGGAGTTAAGTCTTTCTTTTGACACATACTAGCTATATGACCCTTGGGAAAATCACTTAGCCTTTCAGTGCCCCAGGCAACTCCATAAGACTAAATTTCAGCAAAGATTTCAGTCAGCATTGGTAGAGGAAGTTATTTACAGGAAGCTGGCTATGCTGAAGTAAAAACAAGTTTAGTCCAAAAAAAATAAGGGACTTGACAGTTGGTATAATACAAATTATACCACACCCATAGCAGGCATCTGATAATTATTTATTTAGAATTTTCACAAATTATAATCATTTTCACATATGTGAAGAATCCACCCTAATATTAAAACTGAGATCAGGAATTAGGCAAATCAATCAGCAAGCAATTAAGCACCGTATGTTCATGATGTGTTAGGCGTTGGTGATAAAAAAAAAAATGAAATGAAGCAATTAACTGCCCCCAACGAGTTTATAGTAAATGGGAGGGGAGAAAAACACACCTATAGGAAATGGAAGAATATGTCAAGTAACTGGTGTAAGGGACAATGGTATCTTAGAGATAAGAAAGGTCTAAGAGGTGGCACTTGAGCTGAGCTTTGAAGGGAGCCAGATGGCTACTTTTCTTCCCTGAGATTGCACTGTATTTGTAGCTCTATGTATGTTATACTGTATTTTTTAGTTTAAGAACCTGGAAGAAATTTAACAGATTTTGTTTTGGAGTAGAAACTTTATCTTTAGAATGTGCAAAAAAATGGAAATATAATAAAAGAGATTCTTATTGCCTTTAAATTTTGCCTATTTTATGGAGAACTAAACACAAGGCAAGTGCTCACACAGAGGTCAGAAGAAGCAGTATAAGCATCTCAAGGTCTCGCTAAGGAACTTTAAAATCAATTGTGAGATATGTGAGACTTGGGAAACGCTGGCATAGGCAGCCCAGCATGGTATGTCTACATCAAAAATGGTGCTGTGCTCTGGGAGCAAAGCAGAATCACAGCAGCACAAAGGAAACATGAGATGTGCAAATCTAGACCTATCTATCTCAAACGTTCAAACTGTGCCAACCTGTGGTACTTTTTAGAGCTCATATTGAACTGATAAGCGACAATCAGATACACTGTACCTTGACCCCAGCATCCTGATGTCACTGGGGATCTTTGAGTACAAAGGACGACCAACAGCATTGTCTTTAAATTTTGTCATGTTTATTATTTCACTTCCATGTTTATCTCTCCTATAGATCTATGAATATTTGAAAAAATTGAATGGTTTTTTTTTAAAGAAACAATCTAAAAGAACCTCCACAAAAGTTATGCTCTGATAATGTATAGTGGTTTGGAGGTTATACTGGATGCTTGAACACTCTGCCAGATGAACACAAGCTCTTCCAGATTCTAATGACCTGGAAAAGTGTTTATACTGTTGATAGACTATGTATGCTGTTGTAGCAAAGTATGGAGAGATTCATTATTCTTGTGGGAGATTTTCTCTTCAGTGAAAATGAACAGATGTGAGCTACACAATAGTTCAATTAGATGAATTTAGAATTGGTTGAATGTCCTAACTCAGATTTGAATCCATTAATTGATAGTTAAAAGTCATTCAATCAGTTGGTTAATATTTATTGCCTACTATATGCCAGATACAGTACCAGTGCTAAGCACTGTCCTCAAGAACCTTACAATCTAATGGGGGAGAAAACATACATACAAAGCAAGCTATATATATACAAGATAAATAATAAATAAGAGGGAAGAGACTAGAGTTAAGAGGGGTTTCAGAAGGCTTCCAGAAAAAAATGGCATTATAGTTGGGACTTCAAGGAAGCCAGGGAGGTGAGTAAGCAAAGCAGAGGAGAGAGAGCATTCCAGGTATGGGGGATAGCCAGAGAAAAGTGACCTTGGAAGGTTTTCAGAGGAGGACTCGCTGTTCTATTTAACATTTGTATTAATAACATATAATGTCATAAATTTTATAATTTTATAATTTGAAGATGACACAAAGCTAGAACAAATAGGTAACACTCAATGACAGAGACAGAGTCCAAAAAGATTTTTACAGACTTTATAACCTGGCTGTAGGCCATCTTTCCACAATTATTGCATATTTCTGTCTCTCTCTCTCTCTCTCTCTTTTCAGCCAAACTGCCGTATTTGTCATTCCTGTAAATGACAGTCTGTTTCCCATCTTCATGCCTTTGTATAGCCCATCACCAAGATCTGAGATCTGCTACTGCCTCCTTATTTCTGCCTTATGGAATCCATGGCTTCCTTTCAAAGCTCATCTCAAGTGATGAGATCTTCTTCCTATAGGAAGACTATTATTATCTATCCCCCAGTTGCTAGTACCATCCACCCAGAGATTGCTTTGAATGTTCTAGGTATCTGTGTCACACTTAATTCTCTGTATAATTTTCCTTCAAAAGAACGTAAGCTCTTTCAGGACAAGGATTTTTGTTTTTTGTCTTTGCATTGTTAGCACCTAGCACAATGCCTGGCATATAAACAGTACATTAATATGTAACCCTGGCTACAAGCCTAGACCACTTGAATAAGATTCTCCTCATTGATAGGAGGAATGATGAATTGACTGGTATGCTTCTGAATAATAATAATGACAAGAGTTATTAGAGGTAAGCTCCTTGAGGGCAGGGTCTATCTTTTGCCTTTTTTTTTTTGGTATTCCTAGGGTTTAGGGTTTAGCACAATGTCTGGCACATAGTAGGTGCTTAATAAAAGTTTATTGACTAATAGCTAGCATTTATATAGCACCTATTAGTTTTTGCCAGGAACAGTGCTAAACACTTTACAAATATAACATTTTATCTTTACAACAACCCTAGAAAGTAGGTGCTATTATTATCGCCATTTTTCAGTTGTGAAAACTGAGGCAAATAGAGGTTAACTGATTTGTCCAGGGTCATACAGCTAGTAAGTGTATTTTTCTCCTTCCTACCTCCTCTTCCCCTCCCCCCCTTAGTGAAAAGTATATGCAAATAAAATTAATCCCTATATTGGGTATATCATGAAATATATCAGTCTGTACCTTGAGTATCACCCCTTTCTAAGGATCCTTGATCTTCTGGAATCATGGTCAGTCATTGCATTGATCTTTCAAGGTTGTCTTTACATTGTCATTATAGAAATTTTTCTTTGTAGTTCTGCTCACTTCACACTTGTATCAGTTCTTAAAAGTCTTCTCAGGTTTTTCTGAAAAACCTTCCTTTTTATCCTTTCTTGAAATACGATAATATTCTATTGTATCCGTATACATTATTTCTATATTCATCCTTTTTCCACATAGCAGCCTTGCATATAAATGTATATATATATATATATATATATATTCACACACACACACACATATATGTATGTGTGTGTATATAGACATATATGCATACGTATGTGTGTATATATGCATATATATGCATATGTATACATATATATGTATATATATATATATATATTATATATATATGAAGCTGTTATATGCTGTTATATATCCCTCAACTCTTCTTCAAGCTAAACACCCCCAGTTTTTTTCAACTGATACTCAGATGTCATTGACTCAAGGTCCTTCACCATTTAATTGCTCTCCTCTGGATGCTCTCTAGGTATCAATGATATTCTGAAACTGTGGTGCCCAGAACTATAACACAGTCCTCCAGATGAAGTCCAAGTAGGGTATAAAAGGATTACTGATATCTCCCTGTTCCTGGAAACAATGACTCCCAGTGTAACTCAAGATCTGTTTAGCTTCCCCCTCCCCCATAATTCAGCCATTCCCCAATTGATGGGCAACCCCCCCCCACCTTACTTTTCAGCACTTTGCCACTAAAAAGAGCTGTTATAAACATTTTTGTAATTATGGGCCCTTTTCTTTTTCCTTTGATCTTTTTGGCATGTATAAGCCAAGTAGAGGTATCACCTGGTCTTGGGTATGCACAGTGGGGCATAGTACCACATTGCTTTCCAGACCACTTCAGAACATTAATGTGGCTATTTTCCTGCAACCTCTGCAGCATTTGTCATGTTTCTTTTTTTGTTTTTAACTTTGCCAGTCTTTTGGGTGGGAGATATAAATTCAAAGTTGTTTTAATTTGCCTTTCTCTAGTTATTAGTTGATTTGGGGCATTTTTTAAAATGACTATTGATATATTAGATGTCTTCCTTAGAAAACTGCCTTTTCACATCCTTTACTATTTTCAATTACAGAATGGCTCTTTTGCTTATGAATTGGAGTCAGCTCACTACATATTTTGGAATATGTAATATATTAGAAAACTTTTATTACAGAAACTTTCTCTAAAGATTTTTCCTAGTTGCCTACATTCCTTCTAATTTTAGCTGCATTTGTTTTGTTTGTATAAAAACTTTAATTTTAAGTAACTGTCTATTTTATATTTTGTTAAACTTTTTTTTTGAATAATGAACTCTTATCAGATTTAAGGATCTGAAAGGTAATTTCTTCTTTGCTCCTCTAATTTGTTTTATATCCCTTTATATTTATATGATGTATCTACATTAGTATATGATGTGAGATGTTTACCTAGTTGCAGATTTCCTGACAACTTTTTTTCATATAGTAAGTTCTTAGCCAAATATCTTGGATCTTTGGATTTATAAAACTCCAAGCTACTGTATTCATTTGCTTCTGTGTGTTATGTACCTAATTTCTTCCACTAATCCTCATTATTGCTTGAACAGTACCAAATCATTTTTTATGATTATTGCTATGAAGTATAGTTTGAGATCTGATACTTCAATGCCCTCTTCCTTCCCACTTTTATTATTTTCCTTGAGATCAGTCCTGATCTTTTGTTCCTCCAGATGAATTTTGCTTTTCTAGCTTCATAAAGTAATTTTTGGTGTTCTGATTGATATGGCATCAAATAAATTAATTTAGGCGGTATCATAAATTTTATTATATTGGCTTTGTCAACTCATGAGTAATATTTCTCTAGTCATTTAAGTCTATTTTTATTTCTTTACAGTGTTTTATAGTTGTATTCAGATAGTTCCTATGTGTGTCATAATATAGGTATTTTATACATTCTACAGTTATTTCAAGTGGGATTTTTCTTCCTCTGCCTGCTGAGTCTTGTTGATAACACACAGAAATGCTGAAGATTTCTGTGGATTTATTTTGTATCTTGCTACTTTGTTAGTTATTGCTTCAATCAATTGACTCTCTAGGTTAGTTTAAGTAAACCATCATATTAGCAAAAAGCAGTGTTTTTTTCTTCTTTGCCTAAGCATATTCCTTCACTTTCTATTTATTGTCTTATTACTATAACATTTCTAACAATTACATCAAATAGTGATGATAATGGATATCCTTACTTCATCCCTAATCTTATTGGAAAAGCCTCTAGTTTAACTCCGTTACATGTAATACTGGCTCTTGGTTTTTGGTAGATTCTACTTGCCATGAAAAGGAAAAGTCCATTTATTCCTATGTTTATGTATGCGTGCATGCATGCATATATGTATGTTTTAAAAGGAAGTGAGTGTTTATTTTGTAAAAAGTATTTTTTTTTCTGTATTTGTACAACTGTGAATTTGGTTGTTCTTATTATTAATATAATCTGTTTGTGGGTAGTTTTCCTAATATCAAACCAATCCTACATTCCTGTTATTAATCCAACCTGGTCAAAGATTATAATCTTTTTGATGTTACTGTCACCTCTTTGCTAATTTTTAAAAAAAGTTTATTAGGGAACTTGGTCTATAGTTTTTGGGTTTGTTTTTTTTTTCTGTCTTAACTCTCCCTGGTTTAGGTATCAAGACCATATTTGTATTATAGAAGGAGTTTGGTAGGATCCCTTTTTCCTATTTTGGCACACTTTTTTTGCATATTGGAATTAATTTTTCTTTGAATGTTTCGTAGAATTCACTTATAAATACATCTGTTTCTTGAGATTTTTCTTTGGGAATTTATTTATGGCTTGTTCAGTTATTTTTTATGAGATTGAATTATTTAAATTCTATTAACTTGAGCCTTTTATATTTTCATAATTATTCATTTCATTTAAGTGGTAGGGGTTTTTTGGGGGAGAGGGAGTTTGTTGGGTAAAATACCCTTTATTAATTTCCCTTATTCTCTCTTTTCAGTTTTTAGACTACTGACAAAAGATTTAACTATTGATACTATGTATGAGTTTTGTTTAGTGACTGCATTAAAATATTACTGAAATAATGACCTGCATCCATATTGCCTTTCACTCCATAAATGAAACCAAAAGGAATAAGGAAGCTTCAGCTAATTAGAAAGGCAGATCCCTCAGGAGGCAAATAATTAGCAGAATTAGTTTCATCATCATCCAAAGGCAACAACAACCTGGCATATAGTAGACATTTAATAAATGTTTATTGATTGATTGTTTGAGATATAATTTCATGGAACATTTGATGTATAGATGCTACCTGACTTCAGAAGCCCCCTGTTATTGGCATAGGGTCATATTGGGTATATTTTCCAGATAATCCCCTCAAAATTATGAATCCATAGCTTTCATGAGGTAGTACTGTTTGGCCCGTGGACGGTAACAGTATAACTACTTGGCTCTTCTGTGTTTGAAAGTTATGAGGTCTTCTCTAATTATTGGGAACCAGATTCTTTGCTTCTATATGTATGGCCTGAGGGTAACTAAGATTGTGGACAGAGAGGCACATGGTATATCTGGGACCATGTACAGACTGAAGTGTCAAAAAGTACAGTAAAATGTACTGTGGGCAAAAAATAATTTTTAGATATTGACATCCCACGAATGAAATATTTTTTTTTCTGGAAGGAAAAGTGGCAGAAACTAATTTTGAGGGTTTTCCAGGTTTTCAGTTTTTAAAATTTCAGAACTAATTTTTATCTTCTTAGATATAAAAGTGATTTTTGTTTGCCAATACTAAGTATTGACTGCCAATAAAAACTAATCTAAACAGAAATATCTACTAAAATGTTCACATTTGCTTATTTAATGTCATAACATTTATTAAACTATTCATTTTGTGGTGGATTATTCTTTATACAGAGGTATGTTACTTTTTAATTTTGGCATTATTTAGTTTTCCTGACAAAAACATTCTAAATGTTGAACTGATGAATTAATGTCTCTTTCAGAACAAATATTTATATGTCAGTATTGTAGCAAGCATTTTGCCAGTGAGAGACTTCTGCGGGATCATGTTAGAATACATGGCAAGTCAAACTTTTTAGTTCTTCACAGAAAATTGTTATGCCTAGTCATGGTTTGTTTTATTAATTAACAAGGATATAGTCTCTTTCCCTCTCATATTTCCTATTGAAAAGAAAAAGAAAACCTGTGTAACTAGTATGCATAATCAAGCCAAAGAAATTTTTACACTGGCCATGTCCAAAAAATACATGCATTTTGCACCCTGAATCCCATCAGGTTTTAAATATCTATATCTATATCTATATCTATATCTATATCTATATCTATGTATATATATGTGTGTGTATATATGTATATATATACACACACACATACACACATATATACACAAGTATACTTCATTTTACATAATAAATGTGCCTTTTAAAAAGTGTGAAAATGAGATTTTTGCAATTTAAACCGTATTTTAAATGTGTTGTGATAACTGATTATTTAGAGGAAACCTATACTAAAGTCATTTCAAAAGTGAAGCGTATTTATTATCTTGTTGCAAATTTGGATTTTTATATATAAAGTGAGGCTTTAGAAAGTATAAATACATTTTTAAAAGAAGTTGGAAATTATTAAGAGATATTTGTTGATAATTACTTTGTTTTTTGTTTTTAATGATAATCTATTTTCATATCACCATCATTTCTAAATATATTCTTCTCCCCATCTCTACTTTAGTCATTCTTTGTGACAAAAAAAGAGAAAAAAATTATAATTTTAGAATATTAGAAATTATATTACTGAAAACAATAGAAATATAGGGATAGTTTACTAAAGGGTTTTTTAATTAAAGTAAAAAAATCTTGAAAAAAACAAAATTTTATTGTCTCAGATTTTATATTCATTTATTTTTAGTCCGCCATCTTAACTGTCCATTTTGTGATATGGTATGTACAAACTTTTCGTCTCTGAAGACACATATCAGATTCCGACACTGTGATGAACGTCCTTTCCTTTGTGATTTCTGTGATAGCAGGTAAGAACCAAGGGAAAAATAGCAAAATTAGCTAGTAAAAATAATTTAGTTTTGGTCACGAAGCATTTAACTTTGTTCTTTTTAAAGCTTTTTTGTAAGTTTCCAGATATATAGTTATCCCTTCTATATAAAGGGGGTTAGGGGCATAGCGCCCCATTTGGGAAATCCACATAAATATTTTCTGGGGCCTCCATTCATACCAGAAAAGACATCGGATTTTTTTTCTTTTATGGGATATTTACAATACCGTGTTGTAAAATTTGGGTTAAGTATTTGGTCATAGGCCCTGTGTTGTCTACTGACCTTCTCTGTCATGTGTGGCTGACGTGATATATTGGAACCAGGATGGAAAAAGTTGTGATGTGGAAGGGAAAAACTGTGTGTGTGTGTGTGTGTGTGTGTGTGTGTGTGTGTATGTGTGTGTGTGTATGCATGCATGTGTGTATATGCACATGTGTACAATATGGATATGTGCATCCATGTATACACATGCATGTGCCTAAAATAGATGTGTATTATTTATATATACATAACTATTTAAAATAAATATATGATAAATACTCTACATATAGATATAATGTTTTTTAATATCTCAAAAAAGATAAATGAATAGCTGAAAAAATATAAATCTACTTAACATAAAAAGGAAAACAACTGACCCTAGAGTCCAAAAGGCAACACATATCATATACTTTATTAAATCACTGTTTTCATCTAGATGCCTACCCTTTAATGGAATACGTCTTGTTAGGGTCATGGGATGCAACATTCTACTCTCAAATGCCCTCCTTTTTTTTGGTGAGGCTTTCACTGAATTTCATCCAGATATGATTGTTCTAGAACATTGTTTATTTTCAAAAAGGTGAAAGTCTTAATTTATTTAAAGAAGTTTAAATCTGGTCTTAGAGGCAAAGCAGTAGTGGGTCATTTTTATTTTTGCATATTCTAAAACATCTTGGTCATTCACTTCTCAAAAGTATACCAAACTTTTTTACATGTAGTCAGTAGGCAGAAAGAAAGCAACATATTCAGATACAATTGAGAATGAATCTCTAAAAATAACTTTTAATTTTTCCATATACCTTAATGTCATGGATATACTAAATGTATCCTATAATTGAGTCATTTTCTTACAAATAAATGTGGATTTTTATCAGTCATTGTAATAATACTCTAAGTCTATTTAAGCATTAAATTATAAAACAGTGATCCTCTTAAAACTGCATATTAAGGAGCAGCTAGGTGGCTCAGTTGATAGTGCACTAGACCTGGAGTCAGGAGGACCTGAGTTTAAATCTGGACTCAGACCAGACACTTGACACTAGCTATGTGACCCTGGGCAAGTCACTTAACCCCAATTGCCTCACCAAAAACAAAAAAACCTCTGCATATTAACTGCTATTTCTTTATATCTGAATTCTCAGCTTCAAGAATACATATGATCTACGTAAACACATTGAAACACACAATGATTCATCTGCCTACTGTTGTGATGTGAATGGGTGTGATTTCACTGCTCGTACATTACAGACATTTAGACAGCATTACAAAAGAGTGCATGAAGTAAGTAAATAAAAGCAAAAGCTTTTTTGTTTTTTTTTAACAGAAGTCACCTTTGACCTTTTTTGTCTCAACCTTTAAGTTATGTATGCCTATGACAAAGGAAAAGAACATTTCATAAAATACTTTCCATATAGATCTTTCAAAAATTTTAGTACTAAAAACCACAGACTTGTCAAATGTTTTGCACATTTCCTTTCTATGATGGCAGCAAAGAGAATCAGCCAAGCATGGTAGTTAGGGAGATTGGTCCTTGAGTAAAGAAGGTCTGGATTAAGTCCTACCTCTAATATATACTAGCTATTCTGAGCAAGTCACTTAACATCTCAGTGACTCAGGCAATCCTTGTGATTATAGTTAAAAGGCAAATGCTGGCTATGAACTTTGTTTTTATGAAATTAGTATGTATGATGAATAAATAGAAAAAAGAAACATTTTACTTAAGAGGAACATAAAACAAAAAATGTTTACATTGTGAAGAATAGCATTAGTAATAATAATTGAGGCTTCCCAATTATAAATCCTACCTTTTTTTTTAAGAAGTCTTATTTTTCTTTAATTTTGTTACAATTTCTTCATTTGCAGAGTAATGGTACCATAAAGTACAAATGCCATATCTGTCAGAAGTGTTTTTCTTGGTGCTACACTTTGACTTTACATCTCCGGAAGATGCATCAGCTCACTTGCCATTCTCGTTTCAGGTGCTCATTTTGAGTTTTTTTCTATAAGTTTATTCTTTTGTTGAAATAAATTTTAATCTATATATTTTGTTTTTATATAACTTATAGTTCCCAAAATATTCCTTTTCTCTACTCTCATAATGAAGCATTAAAAAGAGGGGGACATTTTTCAGTAAAACTAACCAACATCAAAAAATTCTGACATATTCAGTGTTTCATACTCATAGCCCTCCACCTCTACAAAGGAGGAAGTTTTGATTGTTTTGTTGTTGTTAGAATAGTCATGTATATTGTTTTCCTGATTCTACTTAATTCATTCTGTGTTAGCTCATATAGCTTTCCATGCAGATAAATAACTGTTTATTTTTCTTACCTCACAATAATATTCCATTGCATTAATGTACTGTAATTTGTTCAGTTAGTCACCAATCAAGGGGCGTTAACTTTATTTTTAGTTCATTTTTATTATTTAAAAATGCTGTTATTAACATTTTAGTGTATATGATGCCTTACAGTGGCATTCAGTTTATTCTTTCCTGTTGAAATGGGAATTCTACCACAGATTAAACTTGTAAAATGTTTTGAAGACCTCATAGAAAGTAATTATTATTATTATTGTTAGTGTTAATTTGATTAGATAGCATTTAAAATACACATATTATATATGAGTATGTTTATAGATTTGAATACACTTATATCCATTTATCTATAAATTATATAGATCTAGATATAATGGTTGTCAAGGACTACATTAGGGAAGAATAGCTAATTATTAAATTCTAGTTCATCTATTCTTTTGTTCTTAAGGTTGATTTGTTCAGATAATTTCTTTGGCCTTGTTTATACCTAGCATCATAAATCTAGAGCTAGGAGGAACTTTAGAGCTCATGTAATCCAGCTGCCTCATTTTATAAATGAAGTAAACTGAGCAGAGAATTTCTCAAGGTCACACATGTAGTAAGTAGCGAGCTAGGATTTAAAGTAAGGTCACGTGACTCCAAATTCAGAGCTCTCTGCACTGGATCTTGCTGTTAAAAATGGTTTCCACTACAAATGTAAATTCATGTTGAGCTATATTATTGACATAACAGTGGTCAATGATTATAGCAGAGGAGAATATTTTTAAAAAATTCTTATTTACTTTTTTTTTTAAAGATAATTTGTTTCAATAATGCCCTTGACCTTGATTATATCTATTAGCTAACTGTGTTTGGCCCGTGATTATGCAATAGAGAAGTGTTAAAATTCATATATATTTATGGGAATTCCAACATTTGAAATATCATTTGTTAAATTAACAAATATATATTGTGCATTTATTATGAGAAAGGCACTAAGATGGGACTTCTTATTTGATGGTTAGTTTGGGGAATAGAAATAAAAACAAACAGTTCGTGAATTTACTAATTTTTTTCCTTATGGATATTGGCTCTATACTCCTTGTCACTTATTAGTCATTATAGTAAGGACTTGTAAATGTATTTTTATTAGTCTTTTTGTATTCTTGTATATTCTGATAGGTACAAAGAAGATGAAGATGGTTACTGGACTTTGAATATAGATAATTTTAAAACTTCTATGGAATTAAATTATGATTTTGTTTGCAAGAAGCCTCCCCAAAAGACTTCCAGAAGACAGAATTGTACTAGAAATAATAGCAATGCTTCCTCCAAAGGATTTTCTACAGGATTGCATGCTTCACAGTTTCAGCCATTGTCAGGATCTCCAGTAGAAAAATCTATGTCAGAAGTGGATGCCTCTTTAAAAGAGCCTGTATATTATGAACTTCAGAGTGTTCCACTCTCATTTGAAAGTCCTCCAAATGATTTTAATGAAACTGTGGCACTAAATGCAATGGTAAAATGAAAAAAAAAAAAGATACAAGTCTTTATTGTTAAAATGACTGTGTAGAAGTATTAAAATGTTTCTTGATTTTTAGAAAGGACTATTTAGTAATCATTTTTATGACCTTAGATGAAGTGCTGCTAGATATAAGAAATTCAGTGCAAAAAAATAGGCACTTTCCATTAGTAAGCAGAAATTCCAAGCTTTAAAAAAAAAAAGACGTATGGATGAAAGTATTAAGGAGGAGGGACAATTGGAAGTTTTCTTGATCTGTTCTCTAACTCCTTTATCTTTTTTTTTTCACACTAACCTCACAAATTTGCAAAGGTGGTGAGGGGGAAGTAAAGGGGCAAGTTGGCAGAGAACTATACCAGTTAATTTTAGACAAGTAAATTCGAAAGTAATTTTAATAAGTTTACCGAAGTAACCTTTTAAATTCTTTGTAAATGTCACCATAGCTTATTAAAAGAGTTCAGTTTATTTCCTTAAGAAATTAACTTGGAGGTATTAGCTAGTTTAAGTGGCATTCATTGGCTTGTTATGTTAAAAGGAATATAAAGGATTCTGGTTTATGGGAGAGTTTGAAATGTTTAAATATGTTCAAGCATGACTTGTAAAAGATTACTTGTTCATACTACAGTATTTAGAAAGTATGATTTTAAAGCATAGAGCTACTGTGGTCAAAATACATGTTCTTGAAAAATTCCTGCAGATTAATTTATGCCATTTCATACAGGGACCTCAAATGCTTTTCCTTGAGGCATTTGTCTATGTATGAGTTCATTTGATGGTTAGGACAAAATGGACCTAAGTTATACAGATGGGCAACTTTTAGGTATAATCAAATGGAGGTCTGGTCATATTTTGTGTTTTGGTGTACTTCTTTGACATAAAAATACAGGATTCTAAAAATGTAATCTTAAATCACTATGTATTTCTAATAGGGTAGATAATGTAAAATTATGCCTAACTCAAGATGACTACTACAAGTTCTACTTGTAGTTTGTTATAAATATAGAATTCTATCTTTCTTCATTTTTCTCTTGTTAGTATTGTCACATAAAAGATATTGTTGAAAGTAATAAAATTGCTTTTAAAGTATTTTAAGGATTTTAGTTTATAAACTGCTTTGAATTTTTTATGTAAATACTCCTCCCTCAAGTCTTTATGCCTCATCATAGTATGTAGTTAAGCCTGGGTTCCTGAAGGCCATACCAGAAAAATATAAGTTCTGTTAGGTTCTACCATATTTATAAGGCTTTGAATATGGTCATAGCAAAATAGGGTGCCTGCTATCTGAGGATCAGTCAAGCTGAATATAGAGAGGCTCATGATCAGTCATAAGTCTGTTAGGTGGTATTGGCTATGTGTAGTAGAACAGAACCTGTTTTATGGAGGCTGGGTGCTTTTTCCTTTAAGGAGTCATAGAGGATGTTCTAAGGATCATCACTCTGTTTACTTCCTAAAAGCCTAAGGTATAAAAGCACCAGCCTCTGGGAAGTTCATGTCAGGGATTTTAGTGGAATTCCCACTGCATTATGAGAACAGTTTTCTCACGTAGAATGACTAATTGCTATGATAAATGCTGAGGCAGTCCATTTTCTCTGAATTACCATATTTTTTTATTCCTAGGAATTGTAACTTTTTTTTTTAGTAATTTTTATTGTATTTTATGACCAACAAACATCTCATTGCACAAACCTGAATTTCTGACCCAAAATATTTGGTTTAGTCGCTAGATGTTGTTTAACATGGCTTCGTGGTTAAATTCTCATTTATTTATTTAAAGCCAGATATGGGATTCTGGAATCCTGTGGCCAAAGCATTGTTTGGGGTGTGTGTGTGTGTGTGTGTGTGTGTGTGTGTGTGTGTGTGTGTGTGAGGTGTATACATGTATGCACACATATACATATATGGACTATGGAGTCCAAAATTGTCTAACTTTTTTAAGAAAGTGAGGCAGAGCTTTGAACTCATAGTACTTTATTAAGGGTCCATAGGCCCCTCTAATAAAGTAGACCTCAGATCTTTCTCTTGATTTGAGGTGCTCCCTTCCTCCAGGGCCTTAGTTTTATAGCACTTGATATCCAGATGATAACAGAAGAGGCACAGAAAAATACAGAGCCTCATTGGTTGATAGATCTTGACCTTGAGCCTCCAGGAGGGTCTACACAAAATACAGAATTCCAATGGTTGACAAGTGAACTGATGAGCAGACCTTAACAGACCTATCTTGACCTTTCAGGAGGTCCTACCTAGCCAACGAGCTGACCTAATGGGCTGGGCTAATAATAAACACATGAAACATCTACATGGGCTCTCCTTCCCTCCTCCTCCTTTGAGAAGGCAAGAATTTTATACAGATTATACATATGAAATCAAGTAATACATATTTCCATATTAGCCATGTTGCAAAAGAAAACATAGACCAAAAAACAATACAAGAAAAGTAAAGTTTAAAAAGTATGTTTCTATCTGCATTCAGACTCCATCAGTTCTTTCTCTGGAAGTGGATGGCATTTTTCATAAGTCCTTCAGAATTGTCATGGATAATTGTATTGCTTAGGATAATTATGTCATTCACAGTTGATCATTGTACAATATTGATATTACTATGTACAATATTTTTCTTGTTTTCCTGACTTTGCTTTGTACCAGTTCATGTAAGTCTGTCCAGGCTTTTCTGAAACTACCCTGTTTATCATTTCTTATAACACACTAGTATTCCAGCACAATCACATACCACAACTTGTTCAACTGCTCCCCAACTGGTGGGCATCCTTGCAGTTTCCAGTTCTTTTTCATTTTTAAAAAAGTCTCTTTGGGATATAGACCTAGCAGTGGTATTGCTGGGTCAAAGGGTTTTATGGCCTTTGGGCATATTTCCAAATTGCTCTCCAGAATGGTTAGATCAGTTCACAACTCCACCAACAGTGCATTAGTATCCCAATTTCCCCCCTCCCTTCCAACATTTCTCATTTTCCTTTTCTGTCATATTAGCCAATCTGATAGGTGTGAGGTGGTATCTCAGTTGTTTTAATTTGAGTTTCTCTAATACTGATTTAGAGGATTTTTTTTCATGTTGTTAGTCATAGTTTTGATTTCTTCTGAAAACTGCCTATTCAAAGACCCTTTGACCTTTTATCAGTTGGGGAATGACTCATTCTTAAATATATTTATTTTCCCCCCACTTACATGTTAAAACAGTTTTTTTTAACATTTGGGGTTTTTTTTTTTTAAGTTTTGAGTTCCAAATTCCATCCCTCCCTCCCTTTCCCTCAGCACCCTCCCTGATTTCAGTAAGCAGTCAGATATAGGTTATACATATGCAATCATGTAAAACATTTCCATACAAATCCAAGAAGACTTGAATAAAAGAAAAAGAAGGAAAGAAAGTAAAAAATAGCATGCTTCAGTCTGTATTCAAACAATATCAGTTCATTCTCTGGAGGAGGATAGTATGCTTCATCATTAGTTTTTTGGGATTGGCTTGGATGATTGTATTGCTGAGAATAGCTAACTCATTCACAATTCTTCATCACACAATAGTGTTGTTACTGTGTACAATGTTCTCCTGGTTCTGTTTACTTCATTTGTATCAGTTCATGTAAGTCTTTTCTGGTTTTTCTGAAGCCATCCTGCTCCTCACTTCTTATAGCACAATAATATTCCTTCACAATCATATACCACAGCTTCTTTAGCCATTCCCCAGTTGATGGGCATCCCTTCGAGTTCCAATTCTTAGCCACCACAAAATGAATATTTTTCTACAAATAAATCCTTTTCCCTTTCTTTATGATGAATGACTCATATTCTTATGAATTTGATTGTTCTTTATATATTTGAGAAATGAAGCTTTTATCAGAGAAACTTGCTGTAAAAATATTTTCTCAGTTTTCTGCTTTCCTTCTAATCTTGACTGCATTGATTTTGTTTGTGCAAAACCTTTTTAAATTCATGTAATCAAAGTCATCCATTTTACGTCTCATAAAATGCTCCTTATTCTTCCCTTCTCCATAGATCTGACAGGTAAAATTTTCAGTGCTCTAAATCATAAGCCCATTTTGACATTATCTTGGCATATGGTGTAAGATACTGAATTATATCTAGTTCTGTAAAACATTTTTTCCCCAGTAATTTTTGTTAAATAGTGAGTTATTGTCCCAGAGGCTGAGGTCTTTCAGTTTACCAAACACTAGATCACTATGGTAATTTATTACTGTGTCTTGTGTACCTAATCTAGTCCACTGATTCACCACTCTATTTCTTAGCCAGTACCAGATAGTTTTGATGATTACCATTTTGTAATATAGTTTGAGATCTGGTCCTGCAAAACCACTTTCCTTCACATTTTTTCTTCATTTATTCCCTTGATATTCTTGACTTTTTGTTCTTCCAGATAAATTTTGTTATTTTTTCTAGTTTTATGAAATAATTTTTGGTTGTTTGATTAGTATAGCACAGAATAAGTAAACTTATTTAGGTGGAATTATCATTTTTATCATATTTGCTTGGCCCACCCATGAGCAATTAATATTTCTCCACTTGTTTAGATCTGACTTTATTTGTGTGAAAAATGTCTTGAAATTGTGTACATATAATTCCTGGGTTTTTGTTGGCAAGTAGACTACCAAGTAGACTCCCAAGTATATTGTCTGCAGTTATTTGAAATGGAATTTGCTTTACATCTATTCCTACTGGACTTTATTGGTGGTGATTATCATTTCAGTAGTGTGTTGGACTCTTTATGACCCCATTTTTGGGGTTTTCTTTGCAAAGATACTGGTGTGGTTTGCCATTTCCTTTTCCAGTTCAGTTTACAGAGGAGGAAACTGAGGCAAATAGGGTCAAGTGACTCCAGGTCACACAGCTAGTAAGTGTTGAAAATCCAGAGTTGAACTAAGGTCTTTTTGACTCCAGTCCTGGTGCTCTATCCACTGTACCATCTAGCTGCCTAGACTTTGTTGGTAATACATAAAAATGCTAATGATTTGTGTGGGTTTATTTTATATCCTGCAACTTTACCAAAGTTGTTAATTATTTCAACTAGTTTTTTAGTTGATTCTCTAGGCTTCTCTAAGTATGCCAAATTATATGCAAAGAGTAATAGTTTTGTTTCTTCATTGTCTATTCTAAGTACTTCAATTTCTTTTTTTCGCTTATTACTATACCTAGCATTTCTAGAACATTATTGAATAATAGTGATGATAATGGGCATCCTTGCTTTACTCCAATCTTATTTGAAAAGCTTCTAGCTTATCCCTATTAAAGATAATACTTGCTGATGGTTTTAGATGGATACTACTTAGCATTTTGAGGAAAGCTCCATTTATTCCTATGCTTTCTAGTGTTTTTAATAAGTTGTATTTTGCCAAAAAAATTTTCGTGCTCTATTGAGATAATCACGATTTCTGTTGGTTTTGTTATTGATATAGACAATTATGCTGATAGTGTTCCTAATACTGAACCAGCCTGCATTCCTGATATAAATCCCACCTGGTCATAATGTATAATTTTTGTTATATGTTGCTATGATCTCTGTGATAATACTTTAATTTTTTTACATCAGTATTCATTAGGAAAATTGGCTTATAGTTGTCTTTCTCTGTTCTTGCTCTCCCTGATTTACGTTATCAGGACCATATTTGCATCATAAAAGGAATTTGGTGGGTTTTCTTCTTTGCCTAGTTTTCCAAATAGTTTATATGGTACTAGAATCTTTTTAAATAGTTCTCTATTTGGTAGAATTCACTTGTGAATCCATCTGGTCCTGGGGATTTTTTCTTAGGGAGCTCATTTATGGATTGTTCTATGCTTTTTCTAAGACAGGATTATTCAAGTATTATATTATCTTTCCTGTTAATCTGGACAATTTATGTTTTTTTGTAGACATTCATCTATTTCATTTAGATTGTTAGATTTATTTGCATATAATTGGGCAAAATAACTCATAATTGCTTTGATTTCTTCTTCATTGGTGGTGAATTCATCTTTTTCATTTTTGATACTAGCGATTTGATTTTCATTTTTTAAAATCAAATTCACCAAAGGTTTATCTATTATCTTTTC